TCGAGCAGCCGCACGCATTCGAAGAAAATGATGGCGCCGTGTGCCTCCTCCAAAAATCCCTCTACGGAATCAAGCAGGCGCCTCGTCTATGGCAGCAGTACCTCCATTCCGTCCTCCTTGAGCTCGGCTTCACTCAGCTGCCGTACGACCTCGGAATGTACAGGCGGGAATCGCGCGGGAAATTCGTACTCCTCGTCGCCTACGTCGACGACCTTCTCTACACCGGCGACGACACGGAGCTGCTGGACCAGTTTGAGGCTGACATCAAAGAGAAACTGGAGGTGACAATCAACCACAACGTCACCCAGTTTCTCGGCCTCAATGTGACTCAGTCCGCCTCCTCCATTCACCTCTCCGCCGCCAAGTACGCCGAAACACTCGCGAAGCGCTTCTCCAACGCACCAATCAACCTCACTACCCCCTATCGCACTCCTCCTCCTAACCACAAGCCAGACACCACACCGCTCTCTCCCGACAACCATCGTCTCTATCAGCAGCAGCTGGGATGTCTCCTGTTCGCCGCCGTCACGTGCCGGCCCGATCTCTCCTACGTCGCAAGCCAGCTCGCACAGTACCTGAAGCGACCTGAAGGGGAGAATCTACTGGATCTACGCTGAGCACTACAGTACTTCATCTCCACTCCCGACGTCGGTCTCACCTACAGAGCTAACCTCACCGCTACTCTACAGCTCCATGGCTACGTAGATGTCGACCACGCTGGAGATGTTGATAACAGACGCTCCCGCACAGGATTCATTTTTCAACTCCAACCTGCCGGACTCATCTCCTGGAATTCTCAGAAGCAGGAACTCATCGCTCTCTCGTCAGCAGAAGCAGAATTCATCGCAGCTAGCGCAGCTGTTCGCGAAGGACTGTACCTGGTGGAGCTACTGCAAGAAGCGAAAGTGACGTGAACGGGCACTTCACGTTACTCTGCGACAATCAGAGCGCGATAAAGATCGCGAACAAGCCCGGCTTCGTTAACCGCACCAAGCACATCGCCCTTCGCTACTTCTTCGTGAAGGATGAAATCGACAAAGGGAAAGTCAAGCTGACGTACTGCCCGACCGGTGACATGGCAGCTGATTTCTTGACGAAGAAGCTGCCACGTCAGCAGTACCAACGCTGCGCCGACCTCTGCGGGATCACCAAGAAATCCCACGTGGCCCACCTTCAGGAATGAAGGGGAGTGTTGGAATAACCGAAAGGTTATATAAAGCATTCCCGAAGCTGTTCCACAGTACCAGTACCGCAATAGCTCATATAGAGCATGCGGAATACCGAGGGTCACCCGAAGGTCAACCGTCTGAGGAAGTCAACGGCCGTGACCCTTGACAATCCAGTAACCGCGCGACAGTTAATTCACTGCAACATGGTAACTGTCGAGGATAGCAATAGTCACGGTTACTGTAGCTATGCAATACAGTTAATAAGGGAATGTACCCCTCAGAGTACATGGCTAGCTAGATTTCTATTTAATCTCTTGTACTCCTATCTTTCAATCATCTTGTTCTCTTTCAATTATTATTCAACAAGGTCACTACAGAGACTTCATTGTCTCCTCCCAGACTCAACAGATTCTATCCTATCCACTGGATCCTTGGTTATATCAGCAGGTTGGGTTGGAGGTTCAGTGTGCGACAGATTTCCGTTTTGCCCGTGAATCTCAATTGCAACACAAATTTTTGTACATGAGATTTTTCGGCAGCTGAGACACATTGCTAGGAAATGAGCTGCGGAACCCAACCAGATTTCCGTGCCTAGGTGGTTCGGAAGCAGCCTGCGATTTTTGTTTGCTTCGCATCCCTCGTTTCAGCTCTCGTCAACTACTCTACCTCGTCAACCAATCACAGCCTAGCGCAATTCACTAACTGCAAAACAACCAAACTACTTGAGATCCTGGATTTAATTCGCCGAGTACCTGAATGTCGCCAACATCGGTGTGCGAAACGCTAAAAAAGTTTTGGTAACTTCACGCATACGCAATGTTAGAATCTAGAGACAGGAATGAATGTACTATGGTAGAGTTGGGTACAAGTATGAAACCCTAAACGGGGTTGTACCCCATATTGGCTACCCCACTACAGCCTACACATATATAGCATGCATATACTTTGACACACCCCCATAGGCAAAGTGGGGGAGAACAAGGGGTCACAAGACCAGTCAAGAGAAGCAAAGCAAGCTCAGGGTGGATCACAACGTCACCACACACACTGAGCACAAGCAAAGGGCCACAAGGCCAGTTCACATGCAGATGTATATATGCAACAACGGCAGCACAGTGATCTCTACCTAGCTGAGCGAGCATACAGGTCAGGGCTTTTTTTTGGATTTTCACTACTCGGATTTCCAGAGCTGTTTTCTAGAGAACTCTGAAATTCAGGGTTCATTATGAGCGTTACTCTGATTTGTCAGAGAAAACTTAACTTCTGAAAAATCTACTATGGGCACCGAGTGTATCTATTTTTCCAACTCTGAGTGTCCTCTCAAGTATTGAACCCAGGCCCTCTGCACTCCTACCAAAAGAATTAAGCGTTGTGCTACGCGCTCACCACTTTATTCGGTTACTGAGTTTAATATATCCATTAAGCCTGCCCATCTTCCAACAATTGGGGGGGGGAGGGGGGGGGCGGGGGGGGGGGGGTTGTGACACGGTGAAATGCCTATACCCTGTACAGAGAAAAGTATATCGGTCACAAATATACACTGGTCTCTCAGAGTAGCTAAAATCAGAACCCTGACAAATCAGAGAAAACTTATCCTCCAAAAAAATTACCCAGACACGTCTACAATATATATATAGATCACAGTACAAGCAAAGTCTACAGCAAGTGAGGAAACGTGGGCACAAGGCCTAACAAAGTACAAAAACGTTGATGATCACCAGACGGAAGTGCCTTGGTGAATATATCAGCAGTGTTGGGCCGAGTGGCCACGTGAGCAAGACGAAGCTGGCCATGTTGCTGCAACTCTCGAGCAAGGAAGTAACGCAGAGCGATGTGCTTCGTTCTGTGCTCTTGTCTGTGCTCCTGACACAAGGCAATGGCGGCCTTGTTGTCGACGTACAGCATTGGAGGAGAACGAGGCGCCTCTCCCAAGTCGGTCACCAGGTAGGTGAGCCAGCGTAGCTCCTGTGCAGCCATGGCTTTGGCGTAGATCTCAGCCTCACAACTGGAGCCGAGAACAGAAGACGAGCGTGTAGAATGCCATGAAACTGAACCAGAGCCAAGGCTGAAGGTGTAACCCTGTGACGACCGTTGCGTAGCCTGGTCGTCAACTCAAGAAGCGTCCGGGTGCCCAGTGAGGACAACGTCGTCCCGTCCTCCAAGCACGAGCCCCATGCTCGATGTACTGCACAAGTAACGTAGTACCCTCTTAGCAGCATCCATGTGCACCTTTCGGTGCCGACCAGGAGCCACGTAGCGAGCCAGAAGGCCAAGAGGGTACGCAAGGGTAGGACGAGTGCAGGTCATCAGGTACATGAGGCAGCCCACTACCTCTGGGTAAGGACCACTCGGCTCTACGGTCTCGTCCGAAGGTGGAGCTAAGAGAGAGTGACCTGTAGCCAGAGGAGTGGTCTGTGCCGAGGACCAGGTGAAGCCGAAGCGTTGAAGAACCTGCTGCACCATGTGTGAATGAGTCAGTGTGATGGTGCGGCGTGCTCTGTCTCGGGTGATCTGCAAGCCAAGGTAACTGCGCAGCTCACCCAGGTCAGTGCACGTCTGTCTCTTCTGCAGCTCCGACTTCACAAGGGCGAGAGCCTCAGTGTCAGCAGTGGCAAAGACCAAGTCGTCGACGTACAAGAGGACGTAGAACGGTGGCAGCGAAGTGTCGGTGCGCAGAAACAGCGACGGGTCAGCAGTAGAAGGCGCGAACCCAAGAGCAGCAAGTGTCGTCCTCAGTGTGTCGTGCCAGTCACGTGGCGCCTGACGGAGACCGTAGACCGGCCGCCGGAGGCTCCACTGGGTACCAGAAGGGAACGACCCATTGAAGCCAGGAGGGCGGCGTAGCCAGATCTCCTCGTGCAGGCTGCCCTGTAAGAAAGCTGTGCTGAAGTCAAGAAAGTGAAGCTCGTAGTCACGCTGAGCGGCAACGTGCAGCAGCACCCGAAGAGTGGTCATCTTCGGGGTGGGGGAGAAGGTATGGAAGAAGTCAACTCCCTCTCGCTGATTGAAACCTTGAGCAACGTAACGAGTCTTGAAGACAGGCGGAGAACCTGGCGGCCGCTTCACCCTGAAAATCCACATGCGATCGGCGAGGTTCCCCCAGGGCTTGTTAAGTAGCGGGTCAGTGCGCCCATAACCCTCCAGGCCAACATGCCTGTAACCCTTCCCTAGGATCAATCGGGGATCACCAGTGGACCTCTGACACCCCCCCGCACTGGGATGCCCGAAGTGCACACACTGGGATTCGAACCCGAGACCTTCGCTCTGATACCATGTTAGAATCTAGAGACAGGAATGAATGCACTATGGAAGAGTTGGGTACAAGTATGAAACTCTAAATGGGGCTGTACCCCATATTGGTTACCCCACTACAGCGTACACATATATAGCATGCATATACTTTGACACGCTATTACGACAGTAGAATGACCATTTCGCAGTTCGTGAAAGTAACAAACATTGAGTGTAGTCACCTGTCAGACATGCTGTTGTCCGTCACTCACGCGCTAGCTGTTTTGCGATCAATCCGAAGGGGGATATCGGAAGGGATTTTTTGAGAAACTTCCTCTCGATAAGTCAAATTCAAGGACCACAGATTCGATACCCTATTAAATCAGGGTCCTCTAACAGGCTAGTCTGTTACACTATACTCAAAATCAGGGATAGGAAAACTATTACTCTGATGTGAACAGGGTTGAGGACTCAGCAATTCTGAAATCTCAGTCCCCGCCAAGTGGAAAGCTTGAAATCACCCTGAAATCAGGGTAATTACCCTGATAAACTCAGCCCTGGTTTTCAAGCAACCACACAGTAAGTTGAGTGATGCATGGATCAGAAGAGGATTCGTCCAAAGACAGAGTGTCTGCTGGGATGCAAGGCCTGCTTAACCACGGGGTCATCCCCAACTGCTGCCATCTGCCTACACCGCAGCCGCCCTTGCAGCCTCACAACCACGCCCTTCCATGCACCGCGCTTTGCATTGAGAACCGTGGTGAACGCGGAGAGGCCCAAGAAGGTGACTATGTCAGTGGTGAATAGGCATGGGATGGGTTCTCCCACTTCCCTGGATGCTGCTTCCAGCCGCGATCGAATGAGCCTTGCATAGTAGCTGCAGGCAGCAAGGGCGAGGGGGAGAGGAAAGGGGGGGGGGGGTGGGGGGGAGGAGAACGAGAGAGTGGAAGGGATGGAAAGAGATCTGTTGCTCCGGAAACACAATCCGAGCAGGAGTGTAAGCTTGAGAACTGAGTGCCTCAAATGCAGCTAAGTTAGCTGGTTAAATTCAACAGGTGCAAAAAAGAGAGAACAAAGCATTACTCCAGCTTACTTGATAGCGTCAATAATCGCACGGGTGAAGAACTGGGCCTGTACGTGGCACACACATCGACCTCGCACAGCAGGAGAGGCCCCACCGCCCTTTCGCTTCCATGGCTTCTCCTCCCCTGACTTGCTCTTTCCCATGCTGTGCGTGGTACGATCACGAGTCGTGCGAGGCACGCAGCGAGAGCGTGGCGTGCAGGCAGCAGCGGGGGAGAGGCGGCGCGCACGGCAGTAGGCAGTGAGCTTGATGGCGGCGAGGCACAGCGCCTGGTACGCGTTGACAAGCAGTGTGGGGGAACTGTTGATTGCAGGGTCCAGCAGTAGTGCGCTGCACTTGGGCCGCAGGAACTGCCGCAGCTTCGTGGGTATCGCCGTTGCAGGGGGGTCACAGAAACTTACTGTCACTGCTGTGGCCATGTCCGTGCCCCAGTACCTGCCGTGCCGTGGGAAGGACAACAGGGTGTTCATGGCCTCGCGTGGAGTTTGCAAGCAGACGACATGGGCCAAAGAGCAGAAGTATCCAAGGGAGCTGTTACTACAAGGTAGGCAAGAGGAGAGATGGTGGTCGAGGTGAGGAGAGGATGAGAGGGAAGGTTCCTCGGGCAGCAACCGTGGAGGATGGCAACCCACAGCAGCAAGTGCAGGGCAGTGGCGGCATGAGAGGGAGTGCAGGGAGGGGCAGTGAGGAGGGGGAGGGCGCACCTGGTGTAGTCTGCCTGCACCTCCAGCGTGCTGCAGTTCACCAGCAGCCCTGCCCACCGCATGAATCGCCGCTTCGTCTCCAAGCCCTGCACCATCTCCCCACCATCCCCAACCTCCTCCTCATACACCCTCTCCTGAAATGTCCGCTCGCCGCTCTGCCTTTCCCCTGCCTCGCCCTGCTCTCCATTCCCCATCCTCTTCTCCCCCTCCACGTCCATTCTTTCTGCTCCTTCCTGTCCCTGCTGCTCCATACCTGCACTGCCCTCTTCCACCTGCATTCCTCCATCCCTTGCCACCCGCTCTCCTTCCTTCCGTCCACATCCGTCCATGTCCCCACCAGCCACACTCCCACCTATCTCTCTTTTTCCCTTCCCCAGCTCCAGTGGGAAGTTGACAGCTGTCTTGCTCTGGTTGGCCCGGCAGCCGTACTCCTGGAAGCCTGTGTGCATGGCGGCCACGTAAGCAGCAACATGGGGTTGCGATGTGGAGATGAAGAGAGAGTCATCTATGAGCCGCAGCAGCAGGGAGTGGGCGCCAAGGGGAGGGGGAGGGGAGTCACGTTGCTGCTGCTGCTGCTGCTGCTGCTCGTGTTGCTGCTGGGAATTGCTATGTCTAGGTGGATGCACTGGCTTGGCACCACTCCCACAAGCCTCTCCTTCCTTCTCCTCTGCTCCAACCATCCCTACCCTCACCCGCACTGCCTCCCATCTCTTCTCCCTCTCCTTGCGCCTCTCACACTCGCCTCCTTCACCCGCCCCCTCCTCGCCCCCGTCCCCCCTGTGTTCTCCCAACTCCCCGCCCTGCCCTGCACTCCTGCCCTCCCCACTCTCCGGTGGCAAAGGAGCGCCCAGGGCAAGTGGTGTGAGGGAGGGGAGGAGCACGTGGCGGTCCAGGTGTGCATAGAAGAGGGAGCACAGCAGCGCAGACAGCACCGAGCCCTGCGGGATTCCTGTTCGCTGCAAGAAAAAATGCCGCCCAGCCCTGATGACGTGGCAGCTGATGTGGCGCCGCAGCAGCTGGAGTATGTGGTCGCGATGCCACAGGGAAGTCAGGCCCTGACGTGGCAGTGGAGGGAAGGGATAAGGAGAAAATAGAGTGCAAGTGTTTCAGTGGTAGAGTGGAAGAGGGGGATTGAACAAACGTGCTTGTTTCGTTTGATCACAGTTGCAGCAACCCATCCTTCACCATCCTCCTCTCCCCATACTCCTCTCTCCACACCCTCCCTCCACCAGCCGAATGCCCTCTCTTGCCCCCTTTGTCAGCAGCCCTCACTCTCCCCGCAACCCCACCATCATTTGAGTGTGTTGACCGTGCAAGCACAGCTACCAAGGTGCACGCGCGTGTGTGTCCGGCCTTGTTCACAGCCCCTGCTGCTCCATACCTCCCACGCACTCAGGTGGAGCCCCTTGTTCGAACAATTTCAATCAATGCACACAGATGGGAGAGGCACCAACGCATCTCATCTCACCCACCTTATCCTCCACAATGCAAGCCCCTGATTGCCCCGCCTGCACAATGCACCACCATGGCACACATGCATGCTGCTGCTGCTGCCGCTGCTGCCACGGCCTCACAGCCACCACTGCTGCCGCTGTCGCTGATGGCGTTGCTGTTGCTTGTGTTGCTGCTGTTGGCTCCGCTGCTGCACTGTTGCATGCAAGCATCGCCGCTGCTTCAACTGCCTCCCTTGCTGCTGCACCTGCCCCTCGCACCTCATCAGCTGCTGGTCTTGCCATGCCAGATCCAGCAGTCACAGGTGTCACCGCAGGTGTCACTGTAGCACATGGATGTTCAGGTGCCATAGGAGTGGGCATGGGCATGGGCATGGGCATGGGCATGGGTATGGGCATGGGCATGGGCATGGGCATGGGCATGGGCATGGCTGCTCTGTGGGACCTGGGAGTGATGAGCCCATTGGCTCGTGGCGCAATGGCAGAGAGGCGTCGTACAATGTAGGCTGGCGTTTCAACAAACTCCTGCTCACAGCCGTGGAGTGGAAAGGGGAAGGTGGGTAGAGAAGGAGAGGGCTCGGAGTGAACAAGGGTTCTGAATGAGCCCTTTAGACACTCGTTCATATCACTTGTCATCGCATCAGCCATAGCTGCGCTACTCCTCACCTGCACCACGTGTCACCTGCACCACGTGTCACCTGCACCACGTGTCACCTGCACCACTTCTCACCTGCATGATTTCCAAGAGCTTGGCGTGCGGAATCGTGTCATACGCTTGTGCCACGTCACACACTGCCATGTACACAGGGGGTACACGTGTCACCCTCTCACGCCACCAGTCACACAGCTGCTGATTGAACCATCGTTCTTGCTGCTTCGCCTCACACGTCCCATCCCACGCCTCCCCCTGTTGCTGCCCCGGGGTGCTGCAGGCAGTGTGGTGCGCAGTGGGGCCGCGCATGGCAGGCAGGCGGGCTCTCAAGCGGAGCACAAAGGCACGGTAGCGCCCATACGCATCACTGTATCCAAACACAGATGCTCCTAGCCTGTCCTCCCTGCACTGCCTCGCCTCCCCTACGCAACCTCGCACCCCACTTCCCAGCTTTTGGTTTGCACCTCCCATTCCTCTTCCCTCGACTCCAACTTGATTCTCCTCCTCACTGCTCCTCCTCTTCTTACCGTCCTCCTTCCCCTCACTCACCACCCCCTCAATGTTCCTCCCTATCCCCATACCACTCGCAGCACCATCATCGCCACCCCCGCGGATCCTCTCTCCTCTGCCCGTGCGCCCACTCTCCTTCCTCCTCTTTCTGCTCCCTTCCTCCCTGCTATCCTCTCCTTCCCCTCCCCCGACCTCCTCTTGCTCTTCTCCTTCCCCACCGCACTGCTCATCCTCCCCCTGAGCTTCTCTCCTCTGATCATCCCTCGCCGCCCCATCCCCACTCCTCTGCATCGCCCTGTCGTACCGACTCTGAGTGGCAGTGGCACCACCACCTAAACCCTCACATGCCATGCCATCATCACCACCACCACCACGTGCCTCAGCGCCATGGCAGCATGCAGCATCCTGGGCAGCCCTGTCATGGTGCCCCCCTCCGCCATGCCACCCTCGCCTGCTCTCCACCTGCAGGCATGTGTGGATGCTCCTCAAACCACTGTTGATCGGCCCAAACCGCACCACCTGCCGCCTCCTCTTTGCCTGCACCGGTCGCCGCTTGCCCTCCTCCTGCTCCCCTGCCTTCCCAGCCTGCTGCGCCGCCGCCTGCCGATGCTCTGTGACTGTGGGTTGCTTGGGATCAGGAATAGGCGTGCAGGAGTCAGGAAGGGCAGAGGATACGGGCGGGGAGGTGCAAGAGGGGGGGGGAGGAGGGCAGTGAATCGGGCGATCTGGCAGCGCAGGAGGAGGGGGAGGCGTGCACACGGCAGCAGCAGCAGCAGCCCCTGGGGTGTCAGCACGGCTGGCAGGAGAAGTTGCTGTTGTACGAGGAGCTGGAGGCGTGGGAGTGCTGAGTACAAGAGGAGATACCCGGAAGATTGGCCTCGGCTTGAAGTTGTACGGCCGTGTGCGGGCAGCTCCTGAGATGATGGTCGGCACGTGATCAGTGGCGCATGGGGTGCCGGTGCCGGTGCCACCCACAGCACCACCACCCACAGCCACCTGCGAAATCTGCTTCTCTTCAGCGGCCCCTGGGGAGATCCCTGCGTTGCGGAGGAGATCCCTGTGCTGTTGACGCACCTGAGCACCTGGACGTGCACGGGCCCTCGCGGCCTTGGCAGCAGCGGCAGCGACTCTGTTCTCCTGCCGAACGGTTCTCAACACGGACCCAAAAAAGTCCTCTGACTCTGAATCTGACTCCTCTGCTGCCTCGCCGTCTGCTGCCGTGGCAAGCTCTAGGGGGCCCATGGCTGCTGTTCCCTCTGCAGGCATGCGGGCGCCTCCTGCTGGAGGTAGCGTGGCAGGGCTGGGCTGTGACTGTCGCCTCCTCCCTATGGCCTGACACGCCCCCACCACAAGCTCATTGCGCATGCGCAGGGCCTCAAGGAAGATCCTTGGAACCCCGGGCACACTGCGAGGCACTTCTGACAGGAGGCCTGGGAAGGCCGTGGAGAGCTGCTGCAGCAGCTGCGTGGGCTGCTGTGTGCGCTGCTGTGGGGCCACGTGCGATTGCGAGGGGGCTGCGGTTTCATCCCTGGTTGTAGTAGCAGCATTAGTATTTCCAAAAGCACCTGCAACATTCGGAGCAGCAACGGCAGGAGCAGTACTGCTACTTGCTGGTGAGGAACCAGCAGCAGTAGCAGCAGTAGCAGTAGCAGCAGGAGCAGCAGCAGCAGCAACCACGCGATTTGGTTCTCGCTGCTCCTTGGCTCCTTCCCCACCTCTTCTCTTCCTGCCGCCTGTCCGTCGCTCCCCCTCTCTACCACCTTCCAAAGCGTCACACCCACCTTCAGCAACTCGCCCCACTCTCACTCTCTTTCTCTCTCCCTCACTCTCTCCTATCCCTCTTCTCCCCACGTGCTCACCCCTCGGCCCACACACATCATACACCGCTTTCCTCTTCTCGCACCGTCGCAACCCAAACCTCCCCGGCCCGCCACCATCATCCCTTTTAACTGCCCCCTGCCCGTTCCGGTCTTGCCCCATGACAAGCCCAGGCTTGCTCTTGCGGGTGAGTTCCCAGAAGCGGGCTGCTGCACGCGGCCCAGTGGGGCGCATAGTGAAGCAGTGCAGGCAGGGCGCGGGCGGAGGCGGAGCAGTCTCCCAGCCACCCCCTTGTGCTTGTGCAATGCCAGGGCTACGGTCTTGCCCTTCCGGCGGCACCGATGCATGACCCTCATTCTGCTGCTGCTCGCTGTTCATCTGGTCCCGACTCTGCAGCTGTATGGCACAGCACGAGCACTGAGCTGGGGGCATCTGAGCTGCTGCCTCGGCCATCTCCCCCACTGCATACCTGCTTTCCTGTGTGGATGAGGATGTGGATGTGGATCCATCTGCCTCGCCCTTGTTGTCCACTCGCTTAGCACTACTGTCCTCCTTCACCTCCCCAGTGCTCTTCATCCCCCGGTCACCAGAAAGAGCAGCAGCAGGTGGAGCAGGAGAGGAGCCACAGGAAGCAGTGGCACAAGTGATCTCGTTCTCCCTGCTCTTCAAGGGAATGGCAGTAGCAGCAGCAGCAGCAGCAGCAGCAGGAGGACGAGCAGCAGGAGCAGCAGCAACACCATGCCCTATCGCCAATTGTCCATCCACAGAATCCCTGTCTTGCTCCTGTCTCCCCCCCTCTCTCTCACTCACCACCACCTTCCTCACTCCCTCATCTCTGGCTATGGCAGTCCTACAGACCTGCTCCTCCTCTCCCTTCCTCTGCTGCATCTGCTCACGCCCACCACGCCCACCATGCGCATCACGCCAGTCAGAACCATCCTTTCTACCCATGGATCTTCCCCCCACAGGGCGTTCAGTAGCACCGTCACGTGGCCCCTCCTCCTCACCACGTCCCACCGCACACCCCTCATCCTCTTCGTCGCCCTCCCTACCCCCACCTTTCCCACTCCCCTTGTCCCCACCTTTCCCACTCCCCTTAGCCCCACCTTCCCCATTCCCCTTATCCCCACCTTCCCCACTCCCCTTGTCCCCACCTTCCCCACTCCCCTTCTCCCCACCTTCCCCACTCCCCTTATCCCCACCTTCCCCAATCCCCTGCCCCACGCTACCCCCACCGCCTTGTCTTTCGCCCCCGCCTCCTGGGGCAGCCGCAGCAAACACTCCAAAGGCGGATCGAAACTGAGCATCCAGCTCTGCTCTCCCTTGCATCCCCCCCACCTCCTCCTCCCCACCCTCTTCCACCTCCCATGCACCTCCACCCTTCCCATCCCGTCCCCCGGCTCTCGCTCTCTTGCGCGTCCGTTTTCCTCTGGGAGCGAGGGACACGTGGCTGCTGGCGCCGAGGTTCACAATGGGTCGTACCGTCTGCGCCTTGGGCACAAACCGCACGCGCGCTACTCCCAGCGCACCCCCCTCCCCTCCGCCGCCCCCTGCCTCTCCGCCCTTGAAGCTGCTGCCTTGGCTGGCTGCAGCTGTGCGGTGGCCAGGGGCGGTGGTGCGGCGGGGGGGGAGGAGTAGGTGCTTGGCAGCAGCAGGTGTGAGCTTGTGGAAGGTGGCGGAGGAGGCAAGGCGCTGCAGTGCAAGGTACCTGCAGAGCACACAGGGGGGGAAGGGTGCACGTGCACGCATTGGCAGGTCAGCATGCAAGGACGGTAGGTGCACGCATGGATGTGAAGAGAGGCGAGGGGTGGTCACATAGAGGGGTGGTCAGATAAAGGAACGCAGCATGGCCGCATGGAAGATCAGTGGCACCGGGGCACAACGAGCGTATACAGTCACGTGCAGCAGGAAAAGGCAGGGCAGAGGACGGCAGGGCAGAGCATGGCAGGGGAAGCAGCAGCGGTGGTGACCTGATGCGGGCCCACACGGGCTTGCGGTAGAAGCACACGGTGTGGCGCTGCACCTCACTCTCCGTGACATAGAAGTGGCTGCGCAGCACGGGAATGACCAGCTCCGCCAGCACCCACTGCACCCACACGCAGCTCAGCACCCGGTGCGCCTGCACTGCATGCACATGCCGTGCTGCCACCCTCCCACCGCCGCCCTGCTCCTGTTGCCCCTCACAGACTGATTGCACCTGCTTCGGTTGCTCTTGCTGCCCTGCCTGCTCGCCCTCGTCCCCCCTCCGCATCTCCACCTCTTCATCTCTCCCCCTCTCCTCCTCGCTCGCCACACCTTGCTCTTCCTCCTCATCCATCCCACAACTCCCCTGCTTCTTACCACTCTCCTGTTCTTTCTCCCTCCTGCTCCGTCCACTCCCTCCCCGTGCTTCTCCCCCCTGACCCTCTCTCTCACCCCCCGCTCGCCCACTGGCCTTGGTTATTGCGGCAGGGGACCAGGGGAGGCAGGCGGTGGGCAAGCGGTGCATGGCGGCGTGCAGGGGTAACTGGTCGAACCTGCGCAGCCCAACAAAGCGACCTATCAACTGTCTCATCCGCCGCATGCTTCCCTTTCTCCCACCCTTGCCATGCTGCTTTGCAGCCTTAGAGGCAGCTTCCCCGCCCACCCCTCGTCCGCCTTGCCTCCTTGCTGCAACTGCTACCGTAGCAACCGCTTCCCTTTTTCTCCCTCCCGCCTCCACTTCTCCTCCCCTTCCCACCTCTGCTGTTCCCCTTCCCCCTGCTCCACCCTTCTTCACCACTGCTATGCCCTCATCTCTCCCACGGGGCAGCAGATGGCAAGGCACGATGCTACGGATCACGGCCCATGTGAAGTTAGCTACCTGCTGCTGGCTGCTCGTGGCCTGCACTAGCTCCTCTACAGGCACCTCCATCAGGCTCCCCATGCCCTGCCCTTTTGCACTCCCACTCCCACTCCCTGCTCTTCTCCTGCTGCCTGAATTAAGTGTCCCAAGGGGTGCGTGCTCGCGTGAGCGTGAGGGCAAACCAGCGTCAACGGCCTCAGCAGCAGAATTTGCAGTGGGCGTGGCAGCAGCTTCACCTTCCACTGCCGAATCAGCCGCAGGCACAGGTGCATGAGCATCAGGTGTAGGTGATGGCGCTCTGGGTGTGCCGCTCACATGTGCAGCAGGAGCACCCATGGCGGGTGGGCGGCCATGCATGTCCACTGCCGCTGGCTGCACAGCATGAGCAGGTGCACGTTCACTGGCATCACTGGTGGAGACAGCGCCATTGCAAGGCGCGTCACTGGTACTACTGCCACGCGCTGCTGCTACAGCTTCAGCAGCCCCATCTGATCCTGCCACCACCTCACGGGCACTGCCTGAACCGACAGCAGGACTGGCTGCTGCTTTAGCAGTAGAAGCGTCTCCAGCAGCGGCCTGTACAGGCACGGCAGCAGCAAGCGGGGTTGGAGAGGAGGCGGCAGGGAGAGGGCAGTGCTTGGCGAGCAGGCGGGAGAAGTTGCATGCACGGGCACGGCGGAGCATGGAGTGCAGCAGGGCGAGAAGAGCAGGCGAGGGCGGGGCGTTGAGCAGGTAAGTGGCGGGCCCACAGACTGCCCCTTGGTGCTGCTGTGCGCATGCAGCAGGTGCTGCTGCTGCGCGCTCTAGGGGCTGATGGAAGACGTGTTGGTACAGCTGCCCCGCACCCTCTCTTGTGGCGGGAAGGCGGTTCAGAATGTCTGGGAGGAGCAGGAGGGAAGGGGGAACGGAGAGAAGGGGTAGATGACAGGGGTAGTTCACAAGCGAGAGAGAGGGCATGGGACTGACATACACGCTCGGGGAGAGGTGGTGGCATGGCAGGTTATGGTGGATTGGAGGGGGCGGCGACATGCTCTCTTAGATGCGCATGGTCACATTCTTGGAAGGAAACACACTCTTGGGGGCACATACCATGCAATCCACCTGCCAAACTGCGAAGCTGCCAAAATGCCAAACTTCCACTTGCATTCAAACGTCTACTGCACCAGCTCGACTCTGCGCCTAACAGCCTGGCCTGACCTCCCTCCTGAACCCTGCTGCTGTGTGTGGGCTTACGTGACTTGGGCAGGCCGGGGTGAAGAGCAAAGCTGGAGCAGTAGAAGAGCGAGGAGCGCGGCACAAGCTGCCGCTGCACGCCTGCCAGCAGGGACGTGCTGTGGGGTGCAGGGAGCACGGATGGTCGTGGTGAAGGAAAGGTGCCGTGCCGGTGATGCTGAGAAGGATGCTGGCGAGCAGTCCTCCCATCCTCATCTGCCTCTCTCCTTATCTCACCTGCCTTCTCCTGTCGCTTACCCCCCTCCTCCACCACACCTCCCTCCACAGCGCCCACTCTTCGGTGCTGCCCGTTCTCTCCGTTCTCTCCTTCCCTATCGCACTCGCCTTTCCACCCATGTCCCCTGCCACGAGCAGCATCTCTCCCTGCATCTGCATCCACGCACCGTCCACCATCTGCCCCCTCCCTTCCGTTCCCCTCTGCTCCTTTTTCTCTTCCCCGCCCATGACCACACCCACCTTCCCCTCCCTTTCTCCTTTCCGCACTCCGTTGCACCTTCCGGCCGCCCCTGTTCCTCTTCCCCCTCTTTCTCTTCTTCTCTGCACCCACGTTAACCCCATCATCTGAACCATCTCCCACCTGCCCCTCCCTGTCACAGCCGCCCTCTGCTTGCTCTGCGTCTCGCTCCCCTCCCCCAGCCACCTCCTTGGGCCACCCAGGGACGCCCTTACCCTCACCCGCACCTCGCTCTGCACGCCTGCTCTCCTCCCCTCTGCGCCCATCCCCACCTCCCTCACCGTCTCCCCTTCTTCCAACTGACCCATCTGCCCTCGCCCACCCCACCCTCATCCTTCCCTCCCCTCCCCGCCCTTCCTCAGTCTCTCCTCCTGTACTCCCCGCCACCTCCTTTTCCGTCGCCATATTCCCCCGGCCTTGTCCTGCACTCCACACATGCACACCCGTGCCGCCGTCCTTGCTCCTCCCAGCATCCCTCCTGCCTCTCCCTCTGTGCTGCACCCCGCCCACCGCAGCACTGCCACGAAGGCCCCCCCCACCACCAGCGCCTACTGCCACACGTGCCACCACATGGCGCGTGCGCGAGGGCACGCATGCTGCTGATGGCTGGGCGTGCGCGGTGCCAAGAGCAGGGGAGTGGCATGGAGGGCGGGAGTGGGGTGACGCAGGAGGGTGTAGGCGGTCGAAGGTAGAGCAGCGCGATTGCAGTGCATGGCTGGATACAGGAGGGCCTGCCACTTGGACGAATGAGGAGGCTCCAAGTGGCACGAATATGGAGGCATGCGAGAGCAGATGAACCATTGCTGGCACGCCCACCTGCAGGAACGAGGTGTGGGTGTGTGATCATCGGGGGAGGGGAGGGGCACGGAGAAGCAGGAGGATAAAGAAGCAGCAGGAGAGGGTGATGAGAGGGAGGAGTGGTTGAATGACTGAGCCGACAAGAGGGAATGCAGTGCAGCTCGTGCGTCAGCGTCACAACCACACGACGACGAGGCACACACGCATGCACACGGCGAGGAGGCATGGGGCAGGCGGGCAGGCAGGCACGCGTGGTGGGGTGAGGTGAGCACCTTGTTTAGCAGGTGCTGCCAGGGGGGCGACGTGACAACGGCCCACGCCGTGTTGTGCGGGAGAGGCGAGGTCACAGGTGACGCCGCAGCAGCTGGCAGGGTGGTGGCAGGCGCAATGGGCTTGGGTGGGTTGGAGGCGGCGGAGGAGGAGGGATGGGAGAGAGTGTTGTTTGGTGGCATGGGCGAGAGTGAGTGGGTGGGAATGTGGTTCTGCTGCAAGCCGGGAAGGCATGGCGGCGCCGTGGCCCACTGCAGCTCACTCTGCGGCGACGTGAAGGGCATAGCCTGCCATGTATGCAGGTAACAAGCACGAGGAGGTGTGGTCCGTGCAGGCACAGCACAGCACAGCAGCAGGGCAGAGGAGGGAGGGACACAAGGTCAACGCACAGCACTGCACACTGGACAGTGACACGTGAGGGGGGAGATGAGAGAGGGAAGAATGCAAATGCGATACGGATAGGCGTGAGGAGGAATGATGCAGAGCCGAGCCCACCTACCTACCTACTCACCCACCCACCATAATGCCTCTCCTCACCCGCCTGAATCCTGCTGCCAGCACGCTTCCTTGGATAGCGCGCTCATGCTCATCCGCCTCCCCCCCATGGCGCTGCCGCCCTTGCATGCCCGCCCTGCCCGCACGGCCCCTCCCAGCTGCCCGTGCGCCCTGCCTCGCTGCCACGCCCGCTGATCCACCACGCCCGCCCGCGCCTTGAGGCAGGGCAGCAGAGCGCCTGAAGTGCCGCAGCACAACACGTGTCACAACCTGGTGCACGCGTGCAGAGGGGGACGGGCGGACAGCAGCAGAAGCCCGTTCAGGTGGAGTGGAAATGAGAGTGTTGAAATACCGTCTCTCTAGAATTTGTGAAACGTTGTTTCTTCCGGTCATTCGTTTGACAAGCTGGCTGCTGCCATCTGCCAACTGCCAAGTTGATGCAATGTTTGCATGGCACGCATCGCAGGCTTGACAGGCATTGCTTGCATGCATTGCAGGCACAGCTGTTTAGGTGCCTCAAAAGCTGGACAGGAGACCACCCGCATGGCAGGCATGGTGCAGTGCAGGCACAGCTGACAGCACGCTGCCCTGCCACAACATGCCACCCCACACCACTAACAACGGGTGTGTGCCAGTTCTTTTCCGCAGCCATGCCTGCCAAGCCATGCCAAGCCATGGCAGCCCATAGCAGCGCACCTCCTCTTGCGTCCACCTCATGCCACCACGCCCTCCCTGCTCGCCATCCTCGCCACCACCACCTGCTTCCTCATGCCCCCTCCCCCCCTCTCCCCCCTGCAGCAGCAGTGCATGGAGCGCAGCACAGTGCTCCTCAGGCATCCACGCCAGGGCCTCCCTCACCACACTCTCCACCGCCTCATCCTCCTCCTCCTCCGCCGCTCCTCCTGTCGCCCACCCTCCTCTCCCTCGCGCATTGTTGTTGTCGATGGCACCGTCTGTGTCCCGCTGCCGCTTTCGCGTGACTCTCGTGCCTCTCGCGTCACACTCGCCCTCGCACGCCTCCTCCTCCAAACATCTTCGTTCCGTTTCGTTTCCGCACGCTTCTCCTGCTCTGCCCTCCACCTCGCCCCGTTGTGCTCCGCGTTTTGCCGCCCTGCCTTTGGGTGTGGGTGCGTCGCCTCCCCGGGCGAGCAGTGGGAGGCGGAGCAAGTGGGCGAGGGGTGCTATGCCGGGGTACAGACGCCGCAGCACCCGCACACCCACCTGCTCGCCTGCTGCCCCACATGCTGCCGCTGCTGCCGCTGCTGCTGCTGCTGCTCCCGCTTCCTCACTACCTGCTGCTACGAGGCCCCCTCCGCCTGTCTCGGCACACCCCCCACTGGCACACCCGCCACTGGCACCCCCTCGCCCCTCTCCCCGTGCGTCGCATTCCATGCGGTGTGCGACAGTGCCACCCGCCTCTGCTACTGTGGGTATGCAAGCAGGTGGGCGCAGTGAGACGGCCCGTCGTCTCAGTAAACAGAAGCATCCCGCATCGCTGAAAAGACTATCATGCGCAGATATCCTGCAGAAAAAAGCAGTTCGGACATGCTCTACACAATGCCAGCCTGAGATGAATGCCGTCAAACACAGCAGATATCTGTCTCACATATCACTGCACGGATTTGCAACCCCATCAAACAATTATATCCTCGCTGAAGCGCCGAACAAGAACGTAAGATACAGCGTTAACGGTATTTGTGTTTCGTAAATTGTATAGACCTGTAAGGAAAATTCCTTTTCCTTACTTCGCATCCCTGCTCAACGCGTACATCACTGTAGCACCACAGTCAGCACCGTTACCACTCGCAACCCTCGCATCGACAATCCGCCCGCCACCTTCGCACATCGCACCCCGACCTCACGGCTCGGCGGGTAACCCGCGCTCCGGGCCTTCGCTTCGACACTTTTTCCCAACCTCAGTCCCAGGCCCGTCGCGCGACAACCAAAGTCCATTACCGTTACCACTGTAGTTTCGCTATATATTCTTCGCTCATGCCTTCGCTCATTGTACTCTTGCTTCGATAGTGCAATTCTCGTTCGTTCACTCAATTGCACTCGTAACACTTGGTATTCAGAGCCTACGATCTCCTCTCGGACCGCACCCACACCTTCACTTCCCCACTATCTCAATTTTTGGGGGGGGTAGACGTCTCTCAGCGACACAGCACCGCCGCTCGTAGTGCTCTCTCGTAAGCACGCACGGCCACGACCGAGGCTCTCGCTGAGCTCGCCCGACACCCCCGCCATGGCCGAATTCACGCTCGCCACATTGACGCAGGAGCAGCTCGACCGTCTGGTGCGCCAACTTGAAGATTCGGCGCTCGAAATTGCGACGCTCACGGCGGAACGTGACTCCGCGCGTCAGCAATCAACGATGAACACTCCAGCGCCACCACACGCACCGACAAATGCATCTGCACAATCAGACGAGCCGATCGTCAACTCGTCCGGCACACCAACACAAAACAACAGCGTGAGACAGCGCTCAGGCGCAGCCAGCGATGGCGCCGCCCAACCGATGCCTGGCATGGGAGGAAACAGGGTCGCACCAAGCCCGCGGGAGCCTCGCGAAGCCCGTCGGCACGTGGAGTTCGCGGCGACAAGTGGCGAACAGGCCATAATGGCACCAATGTCACTCAAGCCGCAACGCCCGCCCTGCTTCGACCCGAGCCAGCGTGGAGGTCCGACGGTTCAATCGTGGGTCTTCACGATGAACGTCTTCTTCGACGCGAATTACGTCGAGTCGGACGCAGCGAAGATTCGGTATGCCGTTTTGCTGCTAAGGGGCCCCGCCATGGACTGGTGGCGAGTCATCGTGACGTCGCCACGCGCGTACGAGCCACCGTCGCAAGAGGAAGGGCCCACGGGCCCAGCTGTCACCTGGAGTTCATTCTGCGAGACCGCCCAATACAGCACGTGGGATGCGTGGTGCGCAGGGCTTCGGGCGCGCTTCGAGCCGATCGCGACTTCTATTTCGGCGCGTCAGAGATTGCGCACTCGGCGACAGCTTGGATCGGTTCAAGACTATACGAGTGGTTTTCTCGCATTATGCGAGCAAGTCGGCTACATGCACGAAGCGGAGCGGGTGGACCGTTACGTCGGAGGGCTGAAGCCGGACATCTCGCACGAAATCATGCTACGCGGGCTCTCGAACTTCAACGAGATTCTCGCGCTCGCCGAGAAAATCGACATTTTACGCCGTCCGAGACCGGGGTCCTACTATGGACATCGTCCTCGGGGACCGATCGAGCACGCCACTGTACATGCTGTTGCGACGAATGCAGCTGCCGCACCGTTTAAGGGGCGCTGCTTTGCTTGCAACAGGCCGGGCCATCGCAAGAGCGAATGCCCAGAGGAGCTAAGGCGCCGCGGAGCAGAGCAGGGGAGGGAGTCTCCAAAGCAGGGAAACGCCAGCAGTCAGTAGGAATCGGGCCAACTACTGACGAGACTGCCTGCTCGCCCAACCCCACCGACCCTCACTGAGTCACAGTACCGATTCATGCTATCGATCGGACTCGGACGAATAAGGAGGGTACAGCGACGGATTGCCCAGTACTGATCCACGGGAAAATACAGGGAGCAGCAGTGAAGATTTTTATCGACGGAGGAGCAAGCCACAGTTTAGTTAATACCGCAACCGCACGAAAACTGCAGCTGACACTTAGCCGTTGCTTACCAGAGATAGACGCACGCTTAGTCGACGGCACGCCACTGGCCATACGGGAGAAGGTAGAGAGAGTCAAAGTCCGCTGCGGGGGAAATTTCGGGTTTACACAGGAAATGCTCGCAACGACACTGGATGGGCACGATATTTTACTAGGACGTGATTGGCTGCGACGATATAACCCGCGAATTGACTGGACGACGGGTAGCTGCACCGTGCGAAGTAGTGGTAACTGGGTCAAGCTACCTCGCTGGCAGTCGCCCGAGTCTTCAACGGTACACGTCAACGCCATCACAATGAAACGGGCTGTCGCTGCTGGAGCTGACGTGTACGCAGTAGACATCGCAGTAGTAGAGGAAGCAGAGCAGCCGAGTGATTTCAAGAAACTGCTGGCAGCCGTACCGCCCGAATTACAGGAACTCTTGAAACGATACCCCGGGATTTTCCCCGACGAATTACCGGAAGGACTGCCACCTCAGCAAGCACATGACCACCGAATCGAATTAGAACCGGGGGCACAGCCAACCGTACAGCGCCAGTTCAGACTGACACAGCCCGAGCTCGACGAACTAAGGAAGCAGTTAGATTACCTGTTAGAGAAAAAAATCATCAGACCGAGCTCGTCACCGTTCGCCGCACCGATACTATTCACGCCGAAAAAAGACGGGGGTTTTCGCATGTGTATCGACTACAGAGCACTGAACAGGGTAACAGTCAAGTCGCGGTACCCCATTCCCCGCGCCGACGAACTGATCGACCAACTGCGAACAGCACGGGTTTTTTCGAAAATAGATTTATGGGGAGGTTACCATCAGATTAGGGTCGAACATCGGACTGCGCCAAAACAGCTTTCAGGACTAGGTACGGGTCGTTCGAGTACACTGTGATGCCATTCGGGCTGACCAACGCACCGGCGACTTTTCAGATGACCATGAACGATGCATTTAGGCCGCTCTTAGATAAATGTGTAATAGTTTACCTCGACGACATCCTAGTGTACAGTCGGGATAAGCAGCAGCACTTAGTAGATCTGGAAGCAGTGTTTAAGGTTTTAGACGAGCACAGATTACTGACCAAGGGTTCCAAGTGCGAGTTCTTCCAGGATAGGTTAGAATTTTTGGGGCACGTTATTTCGGAGGCTGGAGTTGAAATCGACCCAAAGAAGCTGGATACGGTAAAAGCGTGGCATCCCCCGACGAACATCACGGAGCTGCAGAGCTATTTAGGGTTCGTTAATTATGTGCGTCGGTTCGTCCCCGATATGGCACGGTTAACTGCCCCACTGACGGATTTACTGCGGAAGGGGGTCGCTTTTACGTGGGGGGAGAAAGAGCATGCTGCCTTCTCTGCCCTGAAAAATGTTCTCTGTTCACCGCCCGTCCTGCGCATCGCCGACCCACACCGCCCATTCGAAGTAGTTACCGACGCAAGCGATATCGCCATCGGAGCCGTACTGCTACAGGATTTTGGCAATGGCCTACAGCCTATCGCATACGAGTCACGAAAACTGCATCCGCCCGAGAAAAATTACCCGATACACGACCGCGAAATGCTTGCGATCGTGCACGCGTTCAAAGTATGGCGCTGTTACTTGACTGGCGCGGACGTGACAGTACGGACAGACCATAAATCACTACAGTACCTTCGCGCACAGCCACACCTCAACCCACGACAGATTCGCTGGCTCGATTTCCTCGAGTCCAACTTTCACTACACGGTCACTTACAAAAAGGGAGCCTCGAACATCGCCGACGCACTGACCCGCCCCACTGCCCAGATCCACGCAATACTACTCGCCCAGACAAGCCCGCTACTGACAGGCCTATTCACCCACGGGTACCAAACGGATCCATTCTTCACAGGAGGAAATTCTCAGCAGTTCGCAGCAGCAAAGGGAGTCTATTACGTAAAAACCGGGACTGACCGCATTTGGGTGCCTGGGTTGTGAAGAAATGAGGAATGGAAGGAAGGGGTTTCACTAGCAAGCAGTTGAGTACATATAGCAAACCCTAAATTGGGCCGTACTCACTATTGAGTACCCCACTGCAGGCTAGACAAACATAACATTCTGACACACCCCCATAGCCAAAGTGGGGTGTAATCAGCACAACAAGCAAGCAAAACACAAGCTCAGGGTGGATCACAATGTCACCACACAATCTTAGCACAAGTACAAGAAGCAACAGTTTAAAGTTCACAAATGTAAGCAAAGCTAGAGGATATCACCGAGGGCAAGTGTGGAGGAGGAGGGACTATGAGAGGAGAGGAGGTAGTGGGCGGCAGCTGAAGCTGCTGGCACACGGCGCAACTGGAGCAACTGGCACACGGGCAACTGGAGCAACTGGCACACTGGCAACTGGAGCAACTGGCACACGGGCTACTGGAGTAACTGGCTCCGCGGCTAACTCTGAGCGGCAGGAGCAACGGACTCACGGGCGACTGGAGCAACTGGCTCACGGGCGACTGGCGCAACGGACTCACGGGCGACTGGCGCAACGGTCTCACGGGCGACTGGAGCTGCGGGCTTCACGGCGGCCACCCCCCTTCAACCTCCCCAAACTATCCCACCCCCCCTTTCACACACCCCCCTGCTGCACCCTAGGTTCACTCACACCCCACCCCCTAGCACCACTCCGTCGACTCCCACACACCCACCCCCCTCAGCGGCAGCTGCAGCAGTGGGAGACAGAGGAGGAGGAGGAGCAGGGGAGACCACACACCCGCCACCCCCTACTCGCCACCCCCAGACCCTTACACAGGGCAGGGCGGGACGGCGGGTAGGGAGGTTACGGGGGGGGGGGGGGGGCGACGCGCGGCCTCCCAGGGCGCCAAAACAGGCGGCAGAAGGGGCGACGCTCGCCCCCCCCCCCCCAGGTCGCCCCTCCTGTCGCCTGTCGAGGCGACCTGAGGGGGCCGTGCGCGGCCCCCCAGGGAGCCGCGACGGGCGACGGGAAAAGAGGGGGGGGCGGTGCACGGGTCCCCGGTGCGCCGCGACAGGCGACGGAGCATGGCCGGGGCGGGGACGGGGCCTCTGGAGGCGGTGACGGGGCCGATCGGGGCGGCGACGGGGCCGCTGGAGGCGGCGACGGGGCCGCTGGAGGCGGCGACGGGGCCGCTGGAGGCGGCGACGGGGCCGATAGGGGCGGCGACGGGGCCGCTAGGGGCGGCGACGGGGCCGCAGGAGGCGGCGACGGGGCCGATAGGGGCGGCGACGGGGCCGCGAAGGGCGGCGACGGGGCCGCTAGGGGCGGCGACGAGGCCGCGAAGAGGCCGCGAGGGGCCTCGAAGGGCGGCAACGGGGCCGCGAAGGGCGGCGACGGGGCCGCTAGGGGCGGCGACGGGGCCGCGAAGGGTGGCGACGGGGCCGCTAAGGGCGGCGACGGGGCCGCTAGGGGTGGCGCGAGGGGCCGTGAGAGGGGCCTCTAGAAGGGCGCGACGAGAGGGCGGCCCACGGGGCGCGCCTCGGGCAGGGGCGACTCGCGCTTCAGTCAGAAAAAAAAAAAATTCAGTGGTGGGCCCTGAGAAGCGTTCCCACTAGGGAACCTGCTCTATACCATGTGAAGAAATGAGGAATGGAAGGAAGGGGTTTCACTAGCAAGCAGTTGAGTACATATAGCAAACCCTAAATTGGGCTGTACTCACTATTGAGTACCCCACTGCAGGCTAGACAAACATAACATTCTGACATGGGTATACACTGCTACGGGAATTACTGTTACAGGAGGCACACGACGGAGTTACCTCGGGGCATTTCGGAGTAGAAAAAACACGGCAGCAGCTGCAGCAGTATTATTACTGGCCCGAAATGTTGACCGACGTACAACGACACGTGGCATCGTGTCCCACTTGTCAGCTCATGAAATCATCACGACAGCGGCCGGCGGGACAGTTGCAGCCGATACCACCCCCAGAGCGTGCTTGGCAGCAGGTGACGATGGACTTCGTCACGGGGTTACCAGCCGGGGCGAGTGGGAACGACGCGATCCTGGTTGTCGTCGATCGACTGACGAAAATGGCACATTTCGCAGCCTGCAAAAAATCAATCACAGCCGAAGAAACAGCACGCCTCTTCATCTCCACCGTCGTTCGACTGCACGGGATACCAGCCGCGATCATCAGCGACCGCGATACGAAATTCACCAGCAACTTTTGGCGGAACCTGTGGCAGCAGTTCGGCACGCGACTGCAGTTCAGTTCATCATACCACCCCGAAACCGACGGACAGACAGAACGGACAAATCAGACCATGGAACAGCTCATCGGGGCCACATGTCACGACCTGACCACGTGGGAACAGCAACTGCCACTAATCGAATTCGCGTACAACAACTCGCCATCCGCCACGACCCAACAGTCACCATTTTACCTAAACTACGGACAAGACCCGACAGTACCCATGACCCCGAATCCCGACAACCCAGTACCACGAGCACAACAGTTCGCCGAAATATTACAAGCAGCACGGACCCGGGCAGTAGACGCAATAAAAAAAATCGAACATCATCGCTAAACGCAACGCCGACCGCGACCGCAGACATGTCACTTACGAGCCCGACGACTTAGTTTTACTTGACACTCAGAACCTCCGACTGCCCATCACCCCGAAACTCCGCCCCCGATACTGCGGGCCATTTCGCATAAGCCACATGCTTACACCCGTCACCGCCCACCTCCTCCTCCCTGCTGACTGGTACGTCAGCCCCTCATTCCACGTCAGCCTACTTCGCCCTTACGTCCCGTCCACGAGCCAACTGCCACGCAATCGCCCAGCCAGCATGACAAGACCACCAACTGAACCAATCATCACCCCCGAGAAAATCCTGAGTCACAAAGTTCGCGACCCTCGAGGAGCCCGAAGGATCGAGTTCTTACTCCGCTGGAAGGACCGTACACCCACCGAAGACAATCGGGTTCCCCTGGATAGAATCGAAAACCACCCCGTCCTCACCGAGTATCTGCGCAGCCGAAATTTCAGGGATGTACACGCACTTTCGTAAGGAGGACCTCCTTAGGGGGGGGGGGGGGTAGTGTAAGGAAAATTCCTTTTCCTTACTTCGCATCCCTGCTCAACGCGTACATCACTGTAGCACCACAGTCAGCACCGTTACCACTCGCAACCCTCGCATCGACAATCCGCCCCCCACCTTCGCACATCGCACCCCAACCTCACGGCTCGGCGGGTAACCCGCGCTCCGGGCCTCCGCTTCGACACTTTTTCCCAACCTCAGTCCCAGGCCCGTCGCGCGACAATTACAGTCCATTACCGTTACCACTGTAGTTTTGTGAAAATAAGCAGTAGAAGAAGGCGCCATAGCTAGGAAAGCCCTAGCTAGGCAAGAAATAGTTTAGGCAAAGAAGGAGGAGTTGCACTAGCAAGAATGAGGATACAGATAGCAAACCCTAGAAGGGTTGTACTCGCTATAGAGCACCCCACTACAGGCTAGAGCATAATATTCTGACACACCCCCATAGCCAAAGTGGGGTGTAATCAGCAGAGCAAGCAAAGCAGAACAAGCTCAGGGTGGATCACAATGTCACCACACATTCTGAGCACAAGTTCAGGAAGCAATAGTTTAAAGTTCACAATTATGAGCAAAGCTAGTGGTAGTCACAACGGGCAAGTGAGGAGGAGGAGGGACAGTGAGAGGAGAGGAGATAGGAGGCGACGGCTGAAGCTGCAGACACACGGGCAATAGGAGGCACACTGGCACAGCGGCTACCGGAACAGCGCTCCGGACTACTGGAGTAACTGGCCCCGCGGCTAAAAGTAGCGGCAGACGAGCAACGGACCCACGGGCGACTGGCACAGGTGGCTACGACTGGGCTACCGGAGCAACTCCCCGGACTACAGGTGCTGCTGGCGACACGACGGCAACCTCCGTTCAACCTCTCCCAAACAGTACCACCCCCCCTGACACACACCCCCTGCTTCACCCCTAGCTCCACTCCCCCTTCACCCCCCCTTAGTACCACTCCGACGGCTCCAACAGGTCCACCCCCCTTCAGCGGCAGCTGCAGCACAGGGAGACGGAGGAGGAGGAGGAGCAGGGAACGGCACACAGAAGCTGCACCCCCATACCCCCCACCCCCAAACCCTAATCCAGGAGAACGGGCAGAAGGAGGGGTGGGGCGCCTTCAGAAGCACGGGGGACAGCGGGGAGGACAGGGGCAGCGAAGAACGGGCCGCCCACGGGCCTGGCACAGCCTCCCGAACCGCGCGCAGGCGGCCCGAGCCGCGCGCGGGCCTGGCGCAGTCCGTACGGGCCGCGCGCGGGCCTGGCGCAGCCCGTACGGGCCGCGCGCGGGCCTGGCGCAGCCCGTACGGGCCGCGCGCCGGCTGTACGGGCCGCGCGCAGGCCACGACGGGCGACGGGGGGCGACGCGCGGGTCCCCGTCGCCCGTCGTAGCGCCTCCTGGGGGCGACGCGCCGAGTGACGGGGCAGAAACCCGTCGCGCGCCTCGGGGCGCACGGCGGGCAGAAAACCGCCGCGCGCCTCGGGGCGCACGGCGGGCTGAAAAACCCTGATTTCGACGCCGCGCACCACGGGGCGCGCGGCGGACAGGGAGTAGCAGTAGCAGCGGAAGCAGTGAGGTGGGGCCCACAAACCAGGAGCATATCGCTCTGATACCATGTGAAAATAAGCAGTAGAAGAAGGCGCCATAGCTAGGAAAGCCCTAGCTAGGCAAGAAACAGTTTAGGCAAAGAAGGAGGAGTTGCACTAGCAAGAATGAGGATACAAATAGCAAACCCTAGAAGGGTTGTACTCGCTATAGAGCACCCCACTACAGGCTAGAGCATAATATTCTGACAAGTTTCGCTATATATTCTTCGCTCATGCCTTCGCTCATTGTACTCTTGCTTCGATAGTGCAATTCTCGTTCGTTCACTCAATTGCACTCGTAACAAGACCGTATCATGTTTTGTAACTTGACTTCAGTATAAAGAATGCTTTGGATTCTTTAAGAAAGAAAACAGGTTCAGGCTGTAAATATTCGGAATAAATACCGCTGCTGTGATATCTGTAGTTATTTACTAAAGTTTTTTTTGCAGAAATCACAATAACGCTAATGCCATTGGATATAAATATATAGAAGCAAAATCAATAGTCATTACTGCTAAATTCACCCTTCTAACCGAATGGCACCTCTTTCTTCCCCTTCGCTGTCTTCGATCACCCGCAACAACTCCAATTCCATTTTTGTTCGTCAACAAAACAACACACAGCACGGAGACACTACAGCAGAGCAACCATGCTCTATCCACCATCTCTTCGTGATTGCTTCCTCCGCTACCTCTTCCGTGCTCCTCTATCCACTCGTGATTCCGCCGATCCGTGATTGCCGCTTATTATCTCCCAGTATACGACGCTTTCGCACCCGGCTGTCGCGCATCTCAATCTCCCTCTCCCATCGGCCTCACCGCACAGCAACCTGCATCTCACCGCACACGCGTGTCGCCCGATCTCGCGCCGATCGCTGGCCGTCGCAACTCCCGTCGCAGGAAGAGCGCGACAGCCGGTTCCCCACCCCCAGATTCGAGGCCACAGCAGGCTCTTTCGGCGGTGAACGCAGATGCCACTGCGAGAAATATTCGTGGCAGGACCAACCATGAATATGCCAAGGTGTCCGGTTGCCTTGAAGCGGGGGCCTAGCGGCGCGTTTAGATAGTCGTTGCGGCAGAGAGAGAGAGGAGTGGCGGGTATGGCGGCGTTGTCGCTCCACGGCTTGTAGACTGGTGGCAGAGCCCCGTAGCACAGGCGCTTAGCTTGTCAAGGCTCTGACTCCCGCTGCTGCACGCCTCTTGCTGCCCCGCCCATCCGTCCTTGCACACACCCACCCTCGGCCTCCCACACACTCAGCCTCGCCCTCCCATCCCGCGCCTCTCTTGTCTTCCCATTTCCCCATCCTCCCACTCCTCCCGGTTTCTTCTTTCCCTCTCCCCCTTCACTGCCCTCCCCTTTCCCCCCTCATCTCTCGCTCTCCCCACTCACACGGCCGCCCCTAGCGCAACCGCCATGGGCGCAACGTCCCCAGGCGCGCCCCCCGCGGCGGCCACGGGGCGCGCGGTGCTGAGCGAGCGCCTGGTGGGACACCGCATGGCGCTGCAGCGCAACGAGAACATCCGCTGCCTCGCCGCGCTCGCCCTCCCCGCACCCCTCCCCGCGCCCGGTGCCCCCCATCTGCCGCCAGACGCCGCTGCGCAGAGCAGCGCTGCGCCCAGCGCGTTTGCCACGAGCAGGCTCAGCAGCGGCAGCAGCAGCAGCAGCTCTGGCAGCAGCGCCAATACTAACGGTGACAGCGGTGGCAGTGGCAGTGGCAACAGTGGCAACAGTGGCAGTGTGCGTATGAGCAGCAGCGTGTTCGTGGGCACATCAGCAGGCCGCGTGCTGCACCTCTCGCTCTCCCACCCACCCACCACCCAACCCAACCAGCCTGGAGCACCTGCAGCAGCAGAGCCTGCGTCCGCATCTGCGCACGCAGGTACCAGCAGCGCTGCTCCTGCAGCAGCAGCAGCAGCAGCAGCAGCAGGTGCTGTGTCTGCTGCTTCTGCTGGTGGCAACAGCGCGTCAGCATGGGGCTGGTTGACTGCAGGTCGGATGGCTTCTGCTTCTGCTTCTACCGCGTCTGCTGCTGCGGCTGGGGATAGCCCGTCTGCTGCTGGCAGCCATGTTGGTAGTGTGGGTGGTGCTGGTTCTACCGGTATGGGGGGAGCAGGGGGGAATGAGGCCAGGGGCCCCGAGTTGACTATGCGTGGGGTGTGCGTGGTGGGGAGGAGGGCAGTGGAGCGAGTGGAGGTGTTACATACGGTGATGGGGGGGCTGCTCGCTGTGCTCTGTGATGGGGGCGTGCGTCTCCTCCACCCTCTCTCCCTCTCCCTCGGCCCACCTGTAGGCCCTGCCTCTGGCACCCTCCTCCTTGCCTCGCACCCTCTATCATCCCCCGCTCCCTTTCCACTCTCCTCCTCTAATCCCTCCTCTTCAAACCTCTCCGCCCCCACCTCCGCCTCCTCATTTCAAGCCTCCCCACCCCCCTCCGCGCCTCTCCTCCTGGTCCTCCGCAGGAAGCTCCTCATCTTCACCATCTCCTCCTCCGCACCCTTCTCCCCCACGCCTCTCTGGGACGCGCTCTCCATCCGCCTGCAAGGGGAGATGCTTATAAAGGGTATAGGCGAGCGAGAGGTCCCTCTAGCAGCAGCATACCTGGGGTCGTCAGTGATCCTAGGCACGTCGCTGCAGTACCTGCACGTGTCCATCCCTTCAGGCGACCCCTTGCAGCTCTTTCCCCTGCCTCCCTCCTCTCCCAATCCCCCTCTCATCGCCGCTGTTTGGCTCGCCTGCAACGCGCCTGGGGTGTCCTCTCCGCGCGAGAGAAAGGTTGCTCCTGATGAGGGGGGGATAGCGTCAAGAGCGCATACGGAGACAGGTGGAGGTGAGGGTGAGGGTGGGGTTGAGGTTACAGCAGCAGCAAGAGCAGCAGCAGGAATGGAGGCGGTAGCAGGAGCAGTGAGAGGTCTGGCGGTAGCAGAGGAGGGCGGTTGGGGAAAGCAGCAGGGGGGGCTGCAAAGAATGAGCGCGAGTGTGGCTGGCACATCAGATGCAGCACCGGCCAGTGCAAGAGCGCACACACAGGACACAGCACACACATCACCACCAACAGCAGCAGCAGCAGCAGCAGCAGCAGCAGCAGCAGCAGCAGCAGCAGCAGCAGCAGCAGCAGGGGAGACGGCAGTAAGAGCAGCAGCAGGAGGGAGCAGTGGTTCTGACATGGGTGCAGCAGAGGGCCGACCAAGCATACAGAGCCAGGAATCAGCAGCAGTACTAGCCATGGACGATATAGGAGTGGTCATAGACACCACAGGCCAGCCCAGAGGCAACCCCCTCATCTTCCCCTCCCCTCCCATCGCCCTCACCTTCGCCCCTCCCCACGTCGCCACCGCTCTCCACCACTCCCTACACCTCTTCGACCCGGCCACAGGCACGCTCCTGCAGACGCTCCCGGTGCCGGGAGGGGCGGGGACAGCTGGCAGGAGCCCATTGGTGGCGCTGGCGGCGGAGAGGGGAGGAGGAGGAGGGGCGGTGGTGGCGGCGAGTGGGAGTGAGGTGTGGTGGGTGCTGCGGCTGTCTCTGGTGCAGCAAGCGAGGGAGCTGATGAGAGAGAAGCGGTATGGGGAGGCACTGGAGGTGGCTAGGGGGGTGGATGTGGGCGAGGAGATGGAGGGGGAGGCATGGGGGGAGGTTAGGCCAGGGGATGGTGCTGAGCCGAGCACAGGGAAAACAGATGCTGCTGTTGGTGGTGACGGTGGTGGTGCTTCTGCTTCTGCTGCTGCTGCTGTTGCTGCTGCTGCTGCTAAAGGGGTAGTTTCTCCCATGGCATCTGCGCTAGCACCAGGGACACCTGGGAGTAAGAGTGTGACGATACAGGGGGCGTGGAGGAGGAGAGTGGCGGAAGCGCATGCGCAGGTGGGGCTGTTGCTGCTGTGGGATGGGGACTTCAAAGCAGCCGTGCCGCACCTCCTAGCAGCACGAGGAGGGGTCTTCCAGCCTGCTGAGATCTTTGCGCTCTTCCCCCACTTGACTGCCAGGTGGCGATCGCTGGTTGGTTGCTTGTCCCTAATTCCTCGTCTCCTCTTCCTCGTCACCTGTTCCTCGCTTGCTGTTTCTCGTCCTCCATTCCTCGCCTCCTTTTTTTTTTGTGCTCTACTCCGCGCCTTCCTTTCTCACAGCGACACCGCACATGGCAATGTCCTTTGTGCACCAAAATGTGAATGTGAATGTGCACGCAATTCGGCACGTGCGTGCACAATGTTGCGTGCAATGCAATAAGGTGTCGCAGGTAGTGGCCGCTTGAGCTGGCACATCATGAGGTTCTCATTCACCTTCTCATTCTTCACCTTCTCATTCACCTCATCCTATCGCTCCCAAAGAGCAAGTTTGTGGAGGATGGCTTTAGCCTTCCTTAAAACCCCATCCACCACTGCACTCCCCATCTCACTCACGCACATCACTCCTCTTCCTTTCCTCCTCCTCACCTGCCCTGCTGCATCGTCTCTCCTGCTCCTGCCTCTCCCTGTCGCCTCCCTCTGTCAGACCCTCGAAGGATCATCCTGCCAACTCTTTTCTGAGGTCTGCACGCACTGACTCTTGTGTCGACCCCAAAGCCATCTCTCACGCTTCCCTCTACCCGTTCCCTCTCCTTGTGTTGTTCCCCAATCGCCAGATCCCCCGAGCTCGCTTCTGGGGTCTGCAACCACTGACCATTGTGTCGACTCAAAAACCATCTCTCCTGCTCACCCCTACCCGTTCCCTCTCCTTGTGCTGTTCCCCCGTCGCCAGATCCCTCGAGCTCGCTTCTGGGGTCTGCACGCGCCTCTCTCTGCCCTGCACGACCGCCTGCTCTGCTGCTGCTTCCCTGCACCGTCTGCCGCTCCGCACCACCGCCCCCACCATCACCCCAGCTCCTCTTTAACTCCATCTGCGTCCCTTCCTACAGCAGTAGCATCACCAGCAGCAGCAGCAGCAGCTGCAGCAGCATCAGGGAGGGAGGCGTTTACAGGAGCCAGGCCAGGCTCGTCTGGGGGAGGTGCAAGTGCATCTGTAGGGTCCGGTGCGGTGGGGAGCGATAGAGGGAGTGGGATGGAGGCGGGGGAGCAGCGGGTGCAGCAGCAGCGGCGGCAGGAGGACACTCGGCGGCAGTGCCAAGAAGGTGTGGTGAGGTAGGTGCAGGTGCACGCATGCACGGCTGCACGGGCTTCCAACCAACCCAATGCGTTAACATCAGCTGCTCTCCTCTCCTCCTGTAGAGAGGGTGTTTTTGAGACGTCTCAAAAACACCCTCTCTACACGTCGCATGCACGGCTGCACGGGCTTCCAACCAACCCAATGCGTTAACATCAGCTGCTCTCCTCTCCTCCTGTAGAGAGGGTGTTTTTGAGACGTCTCAAAAACACCCTCTCTACACGTCGCATGCACGGCTGCACGGGCTTCCAACCAACCCAATGCGTTAACATCAGCTGCTCTCCTCTCCTCCTGTAGAGAGGGTGTTTTTGAGACGTCTCAAAAGCACCCTCTCTACACGTCGCATGCACGGCTGCACAGGCTTCCTTCCAACGAACCCAATGCGCTAACATCAGCTGCTCTCCCCTCTTCTCTTCCTGCCTGGGGCTGGCAGACCGAAGCGGGCCAGGTGTGTGCAGGCACGGCATGTGCGTGTCGGTCAAGCTGTAGGGGGGAGATGCGAGGGGCGAGTGGCAGGGGGGCTGGCCGGATGAAGGGTGACGGAACGTGGGACAAGCGGGGTGGAGGACAGATGGTCAGATGAATCACGAAGTTAGGCGCTGCTTTGGTGCATGCGCCTTGACAGCCATGCACCGAAAGCCATGCGCCCGTGACAGCCATGCGCCCGTGACAGTTATGCACCCGTGACAGCCATGCGCCCTCCCTCCCTTCCCTGTGCTTTTGGGCCAACTAATAATTCTTCTCATGACAGCCATATGTCGTTTCCCTCCCTTCCTCCCTGCGCCCCTTCCTTCCATCACACCTCACCACTACCCTGGTCTACACACAGCTATCTGCTGGCAGTGCGGCAGCAGTGGCGGCACTACTGTGTGTCGGAGCAGGAGCAGCAGGGGGTGGACTCGCTGCTGCTGCACCTGCTGCTCGCGCTGCACGACGCCCCCCGCCTGCTCATACTCTGCCTGCCCGCCGCACGCAACCGCTGCTACCTCGTATGCCACCCACCCACCCACCACACCTCTTCGAGTTTCAGCTCACCTGGTGCGGGTTCTTGTGCTGAGATGGTCTAACAATCACCTCGTTCGCTCACTCTAGTGCCATGTGGCACCTCCGCTTGGCCTCCGCTTGGCCTCCGCTTGGCCTCCGCTTGGCCTCCGCTTGGCCTCCGCTTGGCCTCCGCTTGGCCTCCGCTTGGCCTCCGCTTGGCCTCCGCTTGGCCTCCGCTTGGCCTCCGCTTGGCCTCCGCTTGGCCTCCGCTTGGCCTCCGCTTGGCCTCCGCTTGGCCTCCGCTTGGCCTCCGCTTGGCCTCCGCTTGGCCTCCGCTTGGCCTCCGCTTGGCCTCCGCTTGGCCTCCGCTTGGCCTCCGCTTGGCCTCCGCTTGGCCTCCGCTTGGCCTCCGCTTGGCCTCCGCTTGGCCTCCGCTTGGCCTCCGCTTGGCCTCCGCTTGGCCTCCGCTTGGCCTCCGCTTGGCCTCCGCTTGGCCTCCGCTTGGCCTCCGCTTGGCCTCCGCTTGGCCTCCGCTTGGCCTCCGCTTGGCCTCCGCTTGGCCTCCGCTTGGCCTCCGCTTGGCCTCCGCTTGGCCTCCGCTTGGCCTCCGCTTGGCCTCCGCTTGGCCTCCGCTTGGCCTCCGCTTGGCCTCCGCTTGGCCTCCGCTTGGCCTCCGCTTGGCCTCCGCTTGGCCTCCGCTTGGCCTCCGCTTGGCCTCCGCTTGGCCTCCGCTTGGCCTCCGCTTGGCCTCCGCTTGGCCTCCGCTTGGCCTCCGCTTGGCCTCCGCTTGGCCTCCGCTTGGCCTCCGCTTGGCCTCCGCTTGGCCTCCGCTTGGCCTCCGCTTGGCCTCCGCTTGGCCTCCGCTTGGCCTCCGCTTGGCCTCCGCTTGGCCTCCGCTTGGCCTCCGCTTGGCCTCCGCTTGGCCTCCGCTTGGCCTCCGCTTGGCCTCCGCTTGGCCTCCGCTTGGCCTCCGCTTGGCCTCCGCTTGGCCTCCGCTTGGCCTCCGCTTGGCCTCCGCTTGGCCTCCGCTTGGCCTCCGCTTGGCCTCCGCTTGGCCTCCGCTTGGCCTCCGCTTGGCCTCCGCTTGGCCTCTGCATGGCCTCCGCTTGGCCTCTGCATGGCCTCCGCTTGGCCTCTGCTTGGCCTCTGCTTGGCCTCTGCTTGGCCTCTGCTTGGCCTCTGCTTGGCCTCTGCATGGCCTCCGCTTGGCCTCTGCATGGCCTCCGCTTGGCCTCTGCATGGCCTCCGCTTGGCCTCTGCATGGCCTCCGCTTGGCCTCTGCTTGGCCTCTGCTTGGCCTCTGCTTGGCCTCTGCTTGGCCTCTGCTTGGCCTCTGCTTGGCCTCTGCTTGGCCTCTGCATGGCCTCTGCATGGCCTCTGCTTGGCCTCTGCATGGCCTCTGCTTGGCCTCTGCATGGCCTCTGCTTGGCCTCTGCATGGCCTCTGCTTGGCCTCTGCATGGCCTCTGCTTGGCCTCTGCATGGCCTCTGCTTGGCCTCTGCATGGCCTCTGCTTGGCCTCTGCATGGCCTCTGCTTGGCCTCTGCATGGCCTCTGCTTGGCCTCTGCATGGCCTCTGCTTGGCCTCTGCATGGCCTCTGCTTGGCCTCTGCATGGCCTCTGCTTGGCCTCTGCATGGCCTCTGCATGGCCTCTGCATGGCCTCCGCTTGGCCTCTGCATGGCCTCCGCTTGGCCTCTGCATGGCCTCTGCTTGGCCTCTGCATGGCCTCTGCTTGGCCTCTCCATGGCCTCTGCTTGGCCTCTCCATGGCCTCTGCTTGGCCTCTGCATGGCCTCTGCTTGGCCTCTGCATGGCCTCTGCATGGCCTCTGCATGGCCTCCGCTTGGCCTCTGCATGGCCTCCGCTTGGCCTCTACATGGCCTCCGCTTGGCCTCTGCATGGCCTCCGCTTGGCCTCTGCATGGCCTCCGCTTGGCCTCTGCATGGCCTCCGCTTGGCCTCTGCATGGCCTCCGCTTGGCCTCTGCATGGCCTCTGCTTGGCCTCTGCATGGCCTCTGCTTGGCCTCTGCATGGCCTCTGCTTGGCCTCTGCATGGCCTCTGCATGGCCTCTGCATGGCCTCTGCTTGGCCTCTGCATGGCCTCTGCATGGCCTCTGCATGGCCTCTGCATGGCCTCTGCATGGCCTCTGCTTGGCCTCTGCTTGGCCTCTGCTTGGCCTCTGCTTGGCCTCTGCTTGGCCTCTGCTTGGCCTCTGCATGGCCTCTGCTTGGCCTCTGCATGGCCTCTGCTTGGCCTCTGCATGGCCTCTGCTTGGCCTCTGCATGGCCTCTGCATGGCCTCTGCATGGCCTCTGCTTGGCCTCTGCATGGCCTCCGCTTGGCCTCTACATGGCCTCCGCTTGGCCTCTGCATGGCCTCCGCTTGGCCTCTGCATGGCCTCCGCTTGGCCTCTGCATGGCCTCCGCTTGGCCTCTGCATGGCCTCTGCTTGGCCTCTGCATGGCCTCTGCTTGGCCTCTGCATGGCCTCTGCATGGCCTCTGCATGGCCTCTGCATGGCCTCTGCATGGCCTCTGCTTGGCCTCTGCATGGCCTCTGCATGGCCTCTGCATGGCCTCTGCATGGCCTCTGCATGGCCTCTGCTTGGCCTCTGCTTGGCCTCTGCATGGCCTCTGCATGGCCTCTGCATGGCCTCTGCATGGCCTCTGCATGGCCTCTGCATGGCCTCTGCTTGGCCTCTGCATGGCCTCTGCATGGCCTCTGCTTGGCCTCTGCATGGCCTCTGCTTGGCCTCTGCATGGCCTCTGCTTGGCCTCTGCATGGCCTCTGCTTGGCCTCTGCATGGCCTCCGCTTGGCCTCTGCATGGCCTCCGCTTGGCCTCTGCATGGCCTCTGCTTGGCCTCTGCATGGCCTCTGCTTGGCCTCTGCATGGCCTCTGCATGGCCTCTGCATGGCCTCTGCATGGCCTCTGCATGGCCTCTGCATGGCCTCTGCATGGCCTCTGCATGGCCTCTGCTTGGCCTCTGCATGGCCTCTGCTTGGCCTCTGCTTGGCCTCTGCATGGCCTCTGCTTGGCCTCTGCATGGCCTCTGCTTGGCCTCTGCATGGCCTCCGCTTGGCCTCTGCATGGCCTCCGCTTGGCCTCTGCATGGCCTCTGCTTGGCCTCTGCATGGCCTCTGCTTGGCCTCTGCATGGCCTCTGCATGGCCTCTGCATGGCCTCTGCATGGCCTCTGCATGGCCTCTGCATGGCCTCTGCATGGCCTCTGCATGGCCTCTGCATGGCCTCTGCATGGCCTCTGCTTGGCCTCTGCTTGGCCTCTGCTTGGCCTCTGCTTGGCCTCTGCATGGCCTCTGCTTGGCCTCTGCATGGCCTCTGCTTGGCCTCTGCATGGCCTCTGCTTGGCCTCTGCATGGCCTCTGCATGGCCTCTGCATGGCCTCTGCTTGGCCTCTGCATGGCCTCCGCTTGGCCTCTGCATGGCCTCCGCTTGGCCTCTGCATGGCCTCCGCTTGGCCTCTGCTTGGCCTCTGCTTGGCCTCTGCTTGGCCTCTGCTTGGCCTCTGCATGGCCTCTGCTTGGCCTCTGCATGGCCTCTGCTTGGCCTCTGCATGGCCTCTGCTTGGCCTCTGCATGGCCTCTGCTTGGCCTCTGCATGGCCTCTGCTTGGCCTCTGCATGGCCTCTGCATGGCCTCTGCATGGCCTCTGCTTGGCCTCTGCATGGCCTCTGCATGGCCTCTGCTTGGCCTCTGCTTGGCCTCTGCTTGGCCTCTGCTTGGCCTCTGCATGGCCTCTGCTTGGCCTCTGCATGGCCTCTGCTTGGCCTCTGCATGGCCTCTGCATGGCCTCTGCATGGCCTCCGCTTGGCCTCTGCATGGCCTCCGCTTGGCCTCTGCATGGCCTCTGCTTGGCCTCTGCATGGCCTCTGCATGGCCTCTGCATGGCCTCTGCTTGGCCTCTGCATGGCCTCTGCATGGCCTCTGCTTGGCCTCTGCATGGCCTCTGCATGGCCTCTGCATGGCCTCTGCATGGCCTCTGCTTGGCCTCTGCTTGGCCTCTGCTTGGCCTCTGCTTGGCCTCTGCATGGCCTCTGCTTGGCCTCTGCATGGCCTCTGCTTGGCCTCTGCATGGCCTCTGCTTGGCCTCTGCATGGCCTCTGCATGGCCTCTGCATGGCCTCTGCTTGGCCTCTGCATGGCCTCCGCTTGGCCTCTGCATGGCCTCCGCTTGGCCTCTGCATGGCCTCCGCTTGGCCTCTGCATCGCCTCCGCTTGGCCTCTGCATGGCCTCCGCTTGGCCTCTGCATGGCCTCCGCTTGGCCTCTGCATGGCCTCTGCTTGGCCTCTGCATGGCCTCTGCTTGGCCTCTGCATGGCCTCTGCATGGCCTCTGCATGGCCTCTGCATGGCCTCTGCATGGCCTCTGCTTGGCCTCTGCATGGCCTCTGCATGGCCTCTGCATGGCCTCTGCATGGCCTCTGCATGGCCTCTGCTTGGCCTCTGCTTGGCCTCTGCATGGCCTCTGCATGGCCTCTGCATGGCCTCTGCATGGCCTCTGCATGGCCTCTGCATGGCCTCTGCTTGGCCTCTGCATGGCCTCTGCATGGCCTCTGCTTGGCCTCTGCTTGGCCTCTGCTTGGCCTCTGCTTGGCCTCTGCATGGCCTCTGCTTGGCCTCTGCATGGCCTCTGCTTGGCCTCTGCATGGCCTCTGCTTGGCCTCTGCATGGCCTCCGCTTGGCCTCTGCATGGCCTCTGCTTGGCCTCTGCATGGCCTCTGCTTGGCCTCTGCATGGCCTCTGCTTGGCCTCTGCATGGCCTCTGCATGGCCTCTGCATGGCCTCTGCATTGCCTCTGCATGGCCTCTGCATGGCCTCTGCATGGCCTCTGCATGGCCTCTGCTTGGCCTCTGCTTGGCCTCTGCTTGGCCTCTGCTTGGCCTCTGCATGGCCTCTGCTTGGCCTCTGCATGGCCTCTGCTTGGCCTCTGCATGGCCTCTGCTTGGCCTTTGCATGGCCTCTGCATGGCCTCTGCATGGCCTCTGCTTGGCCTCTGCATGGCCTCCGCTTGGCCTCTGCATGGCCTCCGCTTGGCCTCTGCATGGCCTCCGCTTGGCCTCTGCATGGCCTCCGCTTGGCCTCTGCATGGCCTCTGCTTGGCCTCTGCATGGCCTCTGCTTGGCCTCTGCATGGCCTCTGCTTGGCCTCTGCATGGCCTCTGCATGGCCTCTGCATGGCCTCTGCATGGCCTCTGCATGGCCTCTGCTTGGCCTCTGCATGGCCTCTGCATGGCCTCTGCATGGCCTCTGCATGGCCTCTGCATGGCCTCTGCTTGGCCTCTGCTTGGCCTCTGCATGGCCTCTGCATGGCCTCTGCATGGCCTCTGCATGGCCTCTGCATGGCCTCTGCATGGCCTCTGCATGGCCTCTGCATGGCCTCTGCATGGCCTCTGCTTGGCCTCTGCTTGGCCTCTGCTTGGCCTCTGCATGGCCTCTGCTGAAAGAATCTCAAGTGTTGTCTTGATTAGAAAGAGTGTCGGTACATATAGGAGATGAGAAGTTTTGGGAACGAAGTGGGGTACCCTCAGCATTTATTGGTGGACCAATCAGATTGGGTCGACCAACAATTGCTGGGGTAACCAACAATCGTTGGAGGGGACCATTATTGGCCCCCCCCCGTCAATTGCGGTCGAGTTGGGTTTGGGGGCGCCCAACCAAAATTGGTTGGGTCGCCTTGACCCAAAGTGTACACCCACTTTAGGGTGTAACACATGCACAAATATAAACATACATTATGCTATATTCTAACACAACCCCGTAGCATAAGAGGTTTATAAGTGTGCACAACCCCGGAATCATGAAGCCGGGGAGAGGCCAAGAAGGCGAAGGAAGGCCCGGTGGGCTAGCTTCGGAAGAGCTTTGGTGAAGATGTCAGCGAGGTTGGCTTCGGCGGCAATTTTTCGGACGGCAAGATGGCCTTGCTGGACAAGATCGCGAATGTAGAAGTAGCGTAGTTCGATGTGTTTGGAGCGCCCGTGGAAGACCAGATTCTTGGTGAGGTGGATCGTGCTGGCGTTGTCGCACCAGAGCGTGGGGCATGGCTGGGGGGCCCCAAGCTCGGCTAGCAAGAAGGAAAGCCAGCGTCCTTCCTGCGCAGCCATGGTACCAGCATAGAGTTCGGCTTCACAAGATGAGAGGGCGATGGCGGAGGAGCGGGTGGAGCGCCAGCTGACCAAGCCGCTACCGAGCGTGAAGCCATATCCTTGGGAAGAGCGGCGATCCGGCTGAGAGTCTGCCCAAGACGAGTCACTGAAGCTGGTGAGGAGCGGGGGAGAGGCACCACCAAGGGTGAGAACATGGTCCTGAGTGCCACGGAGGTAGCGTAGGACTCGTTTGGCGGCTCTCCAATGCACGGAGGTGTGACGACCGGTACCGACGAAACGCGCCAGGACGCTGATGGGGTAGGCGAGGTCGGGACGGGTCCCCATCATGGCATACATGATGGAGCCAACCAGTTCCGCATAGGGCTGAGTGGAGGCGGAGGGGGAGGTGGGTGGAGCAAGCCCATGGCCGAATGGAAGGGGAGTGGCCACTGGGTTGGCGAGAGCCATGTCGAACCGCTCCAACACCTGCTGAAGATAGTGAGATTGAGATAAGGTGATGGTGCGGGCAGCTCGATCGCGTGTGATCTCCATGCCCAAGTAGTGGCGTAATTCGCCAAGGTCCTTGCACTGGAGACGAGCTTGTAGTTCTTCCTTAACGTCGGTCATGTCGGCGGAGGTGTCGGCGAGGAGCACCATGTCGTCAACATAGACTAGGACGAAGAAGCGGCTGGGACGGGTCCGAATGAAGAGACTGGCGTCAGAGTGAGATGGTTGAAATCCGAGAGCACAGAGTGTAGATGCCAGCTTAGCATGCCATTCCCGAGGAGCCTGCTTCAGGCCGTAGACTGGACGGCGTAGTTCCCAGACAGTGTCTGGTGGGAAGGCTTCATGGAAGCCATCTGGGCGGTCGAGGAAGATTTGTTCGTGGAGGTTCCCCTGAAGAAAAGCGTTAGAGACATCCATTGATGAGATCTCCATGCCGTTGCGGGAGCCAAAGTCGAGAAGCGTGCGAAGGGTCCCGAATTTTGCGGTAGGTGAGAAGGTTTCCCAAAAGTCCTTGGCATAGGTCTGTGTGAAGCCCTTGGCGCAGTAACGGGCTTTGTAGACGGGCTCCTCCCCCGGAAGCTGCTTCACCCGGAAGACCCACTTGCCAGCGACAATGTTGGCATCTGGAGGCGGCTTGGCATCGACGAAGGAATCATTGCGAATGAAGGCGTCGCACTCCTTGCGAATGGCCTCCAGCCATTTGTCAGCGTCAGGGCACGTGATTGCCTCCTGGAATGTGGTAGGCGTGAAGATGAGAGGTGAGGAGGGAGTGCCAAGTACAACCGCGCCCAAAAGGGCAAGGTACACAGGGTTAAGGGAAGGAACGTGAGTGTGAATGGCACAAAACTCCTCATGGGAGTCTTCATGAATGAGAGGTGGTTGACCAAGAATGGGGTCAAGGGAGCGAGTGTGCATGCGTGGGAGGAGGAAGGGAGAGCGTGAGGTGAGAGAAGTGCGAGGACGTGGGGAGGATGCAGGAGGTGCGGCGGGCGAGGATGGAGGAGGAGAAGCTGGAGGGAGGTGGGTGGGAGGGGAGGGAGGAGGGGGAGAGGGAGGAGGGGGAGCGGTTGAAAGGGCAGGTGAGGCAGCAGGATCATAGATATCAGCCGAGGAAGGTGGAGGTGAGAGTGGAGTAGTTGGGAGGAGTGGAGCAGATGGGAGGAGAGGAGGAAGAAGGGCATCCGCCCAGGTGAGTGGGCGGGAGGGTGGGGGGAGAGGGTCGGAGGGAGGAGGAGAGGAGTAGTAGGGGATGGTTTCATCGAAGACGACATCGCGGCTGCGAATGAGGCGTCCGGAGGGAGGATGAAGGAAGAGGTACCCAGGAGAGCCACGATTGTGGCCGAGGTAGACGCACTCCAATGCTTTGGAGGCAAGTTTTCCTGCTTTGCGGGAACGGTCTGCGGGAGGAATGAGAACAAAGGATTTGCAGCCCCAGACGCGAAGGACGGAGGCATCAGGTTTGGAGTTGCACCAAAGCTCAGTGGGAGTGAGGTTGGGATGGTGGGGGTGAGGGTAGAGGTTGGTGAGAAGGGCGGCATGAGTGAGAGCATAGCCCCAAAGGGAGGGAGGGGTAGATGCATGGGTGAGGAGACAGCGGGCAGTTTTGGTGATCTCACGGATGCGACTTTCAGCTACACCGTTTTGTTGCGGAGAATGAGGGAGAGTGGACGTCTGTTGAGTGCCATGTGCTTTGCAGTAGGAGGCAATGGTATGGTTGAGAAACTCCCCGCCACCGTCAGAGTGAAGGCGACGGATGGGTCGGCCGAAGTGCACGCGCGCTTGTTCGGCCCAGGCGATGATGACAGCGGCTGCTTCAGCTTTCGTGTGGAGTAGAAACACAGAGGAGTAGCGGCTATGGTCGTCTACGAGGACGAGCATAAAGCGGTGGCCCTGGCGGGAAGGGGAGGGGGAGGGATCCCAGAGGTCCATGTGGACGAGATCTAGGGGAGCAGTAGCAAATGAGGGATGGCTGTGATGGGGTTTTTGTTTGAGTTTGCCATGAATGCAAGTGGGACAAGGAGGAGCTGGTGAGGTGGGTAGGGGAGGAAGGGCAGGGGGGAGCCCATGAAGGAGGCGAGAGGATATTGCGGCACGGAGGGTGGTGAAGTTGGGGTGACCAAGACGGTGATGGAGGAGAATGGCGGGGTGAGAGAGGGAGAGGTCGGGAGAGGTAGAGGGAGTGGGAGATGATGAAGGGGGAGGAGCAATGGTGGGAGAAGGGTAGGTGGAGCGACGGGTGGTGAGATGACATGATGCCGGAAAAGGGAGACGTAGTGTGTAAAGGTGAGTGCGGGGGCAGATTGGGAGGCGATAGACAAGGCGGCCAGTGGAGGTATGAATGAGATCGCAATAGGAAAAGTGGGCAGGAAAAATGGCGGTAATGCCGGCTTTTTGGAGATCATGAAGAGAAATAAGGTTGTGACGAAGAGTGGGAATGTGGAGGCCAGTGATAGTGCCGGAGGGAAAGAGGGGACACGGAAGAGTAGAGGAGTGTGTGCATGGGATCGAGAAGCTAGAATCAACGCCATGAACAGTGGAGGGGAGAGATAGTGTTTTGAGAATGCCAGCGTCCTTCAGGGCACTGACGGTGGCCCCGCTATCGAGGACAAAGTCCAAGGTGAGCGGGGAAGGAGACGCAGAATACTGGAAGTCACTGTTATTAAGAACAGAGGGATACATGGAGGTGGTGCTAGGCAAGGGAGAAGCTAGCTGACCAAGAAAGCTAGAGTATGACTCAGCTGGGGAGGTATGGGCGGCGGTGGCGGCAGAACCGAAGCCAAGAGGTTGCTGCTGCCAGGCGGCAGTTGCTGCTGCTGCCGCTGCTGTGGCGGCTGCGCCTCCCCCACCTCCCCAGGGCGGCTGCTGTGGCTGCTGGTGCGGCTGCGGCTGTGGGGGCAGCTGCGGGGGCTGCTGCAACTGCTGTGACTGAAGATGCTGCAAAAACTGCTGGAGTTGCAGTTGAGGAGAGGGAGTGGTGAGGTTAAGGTGGGAGGGTTGATAGAGAGGGAGATGTTGAACATCATGGACAGTGGGACGACTTGCAAGAGCGGACCAGCGGGGGGGGGTACCATGGTTACCACGATCAAACCAGGCATCGTCCAAGACGCCGAAGCAGGTGGTTATGGGGTGGTTGGTTTGACCGCAGGGTTCCCCAGCGCGAGGGCCGTGACGGCGAACGTAGGGGCAGGGGGGGAGTTGACCAGGTCCGCTACCACCACGTCCACTTCCTCCAGGGCCGCCCGTGCAAGAAGGAGTGCGTCCACCAAAGGTGCCACCACGTCCACCACCACGGCCGCCACCACGCCCACCTCCACGTCCGCCACCGCGACCACCACCACGCCCACCACCGCGTGTCTGGGTGGCGTTGAGTTCTGGCGCGGGTGCTTGAGCCGTGTTGAGAGAAGGCGGGTTGGTACGAAGGAGGCGGGTTTCGGTGTCAATGATCCATTGAACAACAGCAGCAACATCCGCAAACGGCTGATTTTCGCGGAAGGCAATGACGTGCATGTCGTAGGACGGGTTGAGACCGCGGAGAAGGCGATCTATCTGGATGAACTGGGGGAGTTCGGACTGGCGAGCCTTAAGTCGCTTGGCGAGAGAGGTCATGCGGCCGGTGTAGGCGACGGCACCAGTGCAGGTTGCGAGCGTTGTCTCCCAGTATTCGTCAAGGAGCAGCCCCACGGAGTTGACGTCATGGCGCTCAAACATGGCGTGAAGGGAGGCCCAAAGGGCAGGTGCGTGAAGCTCTTGTTCCTGAAAGTCTCGCATTAGAGCGGGGGGGAGACCACCAAGGATAATATTAGAGGCAGAAAGGTCAGATTCCTTCCAAGCAGCAGCTTTAGCGGTATATTCAGCGAGCGCGAGAGTGTAGCGGTCAGCCATGGTGCGGTGATTTATTATGGCGTCGTATTGCTCGCGAGCCGCACGATGGTCCGCTCGGAGCGTGAGGAACCGACGCCGCTCGAGATCGTAGGCTGCTTCATCAGCGGCTTGGCGAACAGGATCCGTGGAGGCAGCGGGCAGATCTGGTTCGTCAGGTTCAGGTCCAGGGTCAGGCGGGAGAGTGGGGGCCGATCCAGGGGACATAGGGGGCGTTGGCGGGAGAGCGGCAGCATGGCGGAGGACAAGGTCGAGGAGGGTGGAGGAGGTGTTGGGGATGTGGATGACGCCGAGGAGGCGGCGCATGCTCCCTGTGTAGGAGTACCAGTTGATAGCGCTCTGATCGGGAGCGAGCTCGAGCCGATCAATGGAGAGAGTGTTGAAATTCTGAGGAAGAGAAGGAGCAGCCATAGCAGTAAGTTAGTGCGATGTGAGGGGAGAAAAAATGTTAGTAGCGAGCGAAAGTGAGGCAGGTTAGAAGCTGAGGGAGAGGAGGAGGGGGGTTAGTAGCAGCACGTGGGAGAGGATTGGGAGCAGTAGCGTGGCAGGAGAGGCGGAGAGCAGAGATAGTATGAGAGAGGCAGCGGGAGAGGAAACGGTGGGCGGAAGCAATGGGGGGGGGGGGGGAAGGGTCGAGGGAGCGGCGGGGAGGAAGAGATGAGGCAGTAGCTAAGTGCCTGGCGGCGAGGGAGAGTAGGAGCAGCCGCGGCGAAGTGTCTTGCAGCGAGGAGAGGCAGTGGCGGCGGCAAATTGCCCGCAGCGAGTGAGTAGAGGCGGCGGAGGCGAAATGCCCCGCGGCGAGTGGGAGCAGTGGCGGCGGCGGCGAAATGCCCCGTGGCGAGTGGGAGCAGTGGCGGCGGCGGCGAAATGCCCCGCGGCGAGTGGAGTAGTGGCGGCGGAGGCGAAATGCCCCGCGGCGAGTGGGAGCAGTGGCGGCGGAGGCGAAATGCCCCGCGGCGAGTGGGAGCAGTGGCGGCGGCGGCGAAATGCCCCGCGGCGAGTGGGAGCAGAGGCGGCGGCGGCGAAATGCCCCGCGGCGAGTGGGAGCAGTGGCGGCGGCGGCGAAATGCCCCGCGGCGAGTGGAGTAGTGGCGGCGGAGGCGAAATGCCCCGCGGCGAGTGGGAGCAGTGGCGGCGGCGGCGAAATGCCCCGCGGCGAGTGGGAGCAGTGGCGGCGGCGGCGAAATGCCCCGCGGCGAGTGGGAACAGTGGCGGCGGCGGCGAAATGCCCCGCGGCGAGTGAAGCAGCGGCGGCGGCGGCGAAATGCCCCGCAAGGAAGAAAAGCGGTGCGAGAGTAGTGGCGACGGCGGATAGGTCGCGGCGATTGAGACGCCGGCAGCTGAGAACGTAAATGCGGCGGCAGGAGCTGAGGCGAGAAATTCGCCTTACGAGAGATAGAGTAGGAGCTGGAGGGAGGTGGTGACTGGTTGTACTTTACGGAAGATTGAACTTCAACCAAGTCAAACCCACGCAACAAGTTGCATGGGCAGGACGGAAGGGTCCTGACGAGCGGGGAGGAAAAAAAAACTTGAGAGAAAGAGGTCAAGAGGGGCGTTTGCCAATTGGCTCTGATACCATGAAAGAATCTCAAGTGTTGTCTTGATTAGAAAGAGTGTCGGTACATATAGGAGATGAGAAGTTTTGGGAACGAAGTGGGGTACCCTCAGCATTTATTGGTGGACCAATCAGATTGGGTCGACCAACAATTGCTGGGGTAACCAACAATCGTTGGAGGGGACCATTATTGGCCCCCCCCCGTCAATTGCGGTCGAGTTGGGTTTGGGGGCGCCCAACCAAAATTGGTTGGGTCGCCTTGACCCAAAGTGTACACCCACTTTAGGGTGTAACACATGCACAAATATAAACATACATTATGCTATATTCTAACATCTGCTTGGCCTCTGCTTGGCCTCTGCATGGCCTCTGCTTGGCCTCTGCATGGCCTCTGCTTGGCCTCTGCATGGCCTCTGCTTGGCCTCTGCATGGCCTCCGCTTGGCCTCTGCATGGCCTCTGCTTGGCCTCTGCATGGCCTCTGCTTGGCCTCTGCATGGCCTCTGCTTGGCCTCTGCATGGCCTCTGCATGGCCTCTGCATGGCCTCTGCATGGCCTCTGCATGGCCTCTGCTTGGCCTCTGCATGGCCTCTGCATGGCCTCTGCATGGCCTCTGCATGGCCTCTGCATGGCCTCTGCTTGGCCTCTGCTTGGCCTCTGCATGGCCTCTGCATGGCGTCTGCATGGCCTCTGCATGGCCTCTGCATGGCCTCTGCATGGCCTCTGCTTGGCCTCTGCATGGCCTCTGCATGGCCTCTGCATGGCCTCTGCATGGCCTCTGCTTGGCCTCTGCTTGGCCTCTGCTTGGCCTCTGCATGGCCTCTGCTTGGCCTCTGCATGGCCTCTGCTTGGCCTCTGCATGGCCTCTGCTTGGCCTCTGCATGGCCTCTGCTTGGCCTCTGCATGGCCTCTGCTTGGCCTCTGCATGGCCTCTGCTTGGCCTCTGCATGGCCTCTGCTTGGCCTCTGCATGGCCTCTGCTTGGCCTCTGCATGGCCTCTGCTTGGCCTCCGCTTGGCCTCCGCTTGGCCTCCGCTTGGCCTCCGCTTGGCCTCTGCATGGCCTCTGCTTGGCCTCTGCATGGCCTCCGCTTGGCCTCCGCTTGGCCTCCGCTTGGCCTCCGCTTGGCCTCCGCTTGGCCTCCGCTTGGCCTCCGCCTCTGCTTGGCCTCTGCATGGCCTCTGCTTGGCCTCTGCATGGCCTCTGCTTGGCCTCTGCATGGCCTCTGCTTGGCCTCTGCATGGCCTCTGCTTGGCCTCTGCATGGCCTCTGCTTGGCCTCTGCATGGCCTCTGCTTGGCCTCCGCTTGGCCTCCGCTTGGCCTCCGCTTGGCCTCCGCTTGGCCTCTGCATGGCCTCTGCTTGGCCTCTGCTTGGCCTCTGCTTGGCCTCTGCATGGCCTCTGCTTGGCCTCTGCTTGGCCTCTGCATGGCCTCTGCTTGGCCTCTGCATGGCCTCTGCTTGGCCTCTGCATGGCCTCTGCTTGGCCTCTGCATGGCCTCCGCTTGGCCTCTGCATGGCCTCTGCTTGGCCTCTGCATGGCCTCTGCTTGGCCTCTGCATGGCCTCTGCTTGGCCTCTGCATGGCCTCTGCATGGCCTCTGCATGGCCTCTGCATGGCCTCTGCATGGCCTCTGCTTGGCCTCTGCATGGCCTCTGCATGGCCTCTGCATGGCCTCTGCATGGCCTCTGCATGGCCTCTGCTTGGCCTCTGCTTGGCCTCTGCATGGCCTCTGCATGGCGTCTGCATGGCCTCTGCATGGCCTCTGCATGGCCTCTGCATGGCCTCTGCTTGGCCTCTGCATGGCCTCTGCATGGCCTCTGCATGGCCTCTGCATGGCCTCTGCTTGGCCTCTGCTTGGCCTCTGCATGGCCTCTGCATGGCCTCTGCATGGCCTCTGCATGGCCTCTGCATGGCCTCTGCATGGCCTCTGCATGGCCTCTGCATGGCCTCTGCATGGCCTCTGCTTGGCCTCTGCTTGGCCTCTGCTTGGCCTCTGCATGGCCTCTGCTTGGCCTCTGCTTGGCCTCTGCATGGCCTCTGCTTGGCCTCTGCATGGCCTCTGCTTGGCCTCTGCATGGCCTCTGCTTGGCCTCTGCATGGCCTCCGCTTGGCCTCTGCATGGCCTCTGCATGGCCTCTGCTTGGCCTCTGCATGGCCTCTGCTTGGCCTCTGCATGGCCTCTGCTTGGCCTCCGCTTGGCCTCCGCTTGGCCTCCGCTTGGCCTCCGCTTGGCCTCCGCTTGGCCTCTGCATGGCCTCTGCTTGGCCTCTGCATGGCCTCCGCTTGGCCTCCGCTTGGCCTCCGCTTGGCCTCCGCTTGGCCTCCGCTTGGCCTCCGCTTGGCCTCTGCTTGGCCTCTGCATGGCCTCTGCTTGGCCTCTGCATGGCCTCTGCTTGGCCTCTGCATGGCCTCTGCTTGGCCTCTGCATGGCCTCTGCTTGGCCTCTGCATGGCCTCTGCTTGGCCTCTGCATGGCCTCTGCTTGGCCTCTGCATGGCCTCTGCTTGGCCTCTGCATGGCCTCTGCTTGGCCTCTGCATGGCCTCTGCTTGGCCTCTGCTTGGCCTCTGCTTGGCCTCTGCTTGGCCTCTGCTTGGCCTCTGCATGGCCTCTGCTTGGCCTCTGCATGGCCTCTGCTTGGCCTCTGCATGGCCTCTGCTTGGCCTCTGCATGGCCTCTGCTTGGCCTCTGCATGGCCTCTGCTTGGCCTCTGCATGGCCTCTGCTTGGCCTCTGCATGGCCTCTGCTTGGCCTCTGCATGGCCTCTGCTTGGCCTCTGCATGGCCTCTGCTTGGCCTCTGCATGGCCTCTGCTTGGCCTCTGCATGGCCTCTGCTTGGCCTCTGCATGGCCTCTGCTTGGCCTCTGCATGGCCTCTGCTTGGCCTCTGCATGGCCTCTGCTTGGCCTCTGCATGGCCTCTGCATGGCCTCTGCATGGCCTCCGCTTGGCCTCTGCATGGCCTCCGCTTGGCCTCTGCATGGCCTCCGCTTGGCCTCTGCATGGCCTCCGCTTGGCCTCTGCATGGCCTCTGCTTGGCCTCTGCATGGCCTCCGCTTGGCCTCTGCGTGGCCTCCGCTTGGCCTCTGCATGGCCTCCGCTTGGCCTCTGCATGGCCTCCGCTTGGCCTCTGCATGGCCTCTGCTTGGCCTCTGCATGGCCTCTGCATGGCCTCTGCATGGCCTCTGCATGGCCTCTGCATGGCCTCTGCTTGGCCTCTGCATGGCCTCTGCTTGGCCTCTGCATGGCCTCTGCTTGGCCTCTGCATGGCCTCTGCTTGGCCTCTGCATGGCCTCTGCTTGGCCTCTGCATGGCCTCTGCTTGGCCTCTGCATGGCCTCTGCTTGGCCTCTGCATGGCCTCTGCTTGGCCTCTGCATGGCCTCTGCTTGGCCTCTGCATGGCCTCTGCTTGGCCTCTGCATGGCCTCTGCTTGGCCTCTGCATGGCCTCTGCTTGGCCTCTGCATGGCCTCTGCTTGGCCTCTGCATGGCCTCTGCTTGGCCTCTGCATGGCCTCTGCTTGGCCTCTGCATGGCCTCTGCTTGGCCTCTGCATGGCCTCTGCGTGGCCTCTGCTTGGCCTCTGCTTGGCCTCCGCTTGGCCTTTGCTTGCCCTCTGCTTGGCCTCCGCTTGGCCTTTGCTTGCCCTCTGCTTGGCCTCTGTTTGCCCTCTGCTTGGCCTCTGTTTGCCCTCTGCTTGGCCTCTGATTGTTCTCTGCTTTCCCTCGCTCCCTCCCTCCCTCCTCCCATCTCACTAGGGCACATTCTTTGTCGATTGTTCAAGCCGCCACTCCCCCCTCCCGCTCCCCCGGCCTCTCTCCCATCACTCACCCCAGCCGGAAGTGGAGGGAGCGCTCCTGCGTGCACACCTCTTCCCGCCCCTTGCCTACCTGCGCTGGCAGCGGGGGGATGCCGACGGCGCCCTGGCGCTCTGGCGGGGTCTCGCACTAGGGGAGCTGCAGGGGGAAGCGGGGGAGGAAGCTGGGGGGGGAGGCGGGGGGGCTTTGGGGAGGGGAGTAAAAGGGGGGCTGGGGGTAATGCAGCGGCAGGCGGTAGAGGAGGCTGTGGCGATTCTGGGTGTGGTGGAGGACCCTCACGTCGTGCTGCGCCACCTGCCGTGGGTATGTGGGCACATGCGCACGTGCACATGCGTGCGTGTGGGGGTGGGTGTGGGTGTGCGTGCACATGTGCCTGTATTCTTGCAGCCTTGCCTATCGCATCCGTTATAATCTCTCGTCCGTCTTACACTCTTTGGTATCACGCATCACCATCCCACACGCGCATCAGTCAGCATGCACCTCACATTGATTCTTACCTGGCATGCACATGCATGAGCTCCCCTGCTACATGCTGGCTCGCCATGGTTTCTGGAAATTCAACGACATCTGCCATTTCCTGTGATATCCGGCATGTGCTCTCTCATCCCTCCCATGCTCTCTCATCCCTCCCATGCTCTCTCATCCCTCCCATGCTCTCTCATCCCTCCCATGCGGCACCGCATGCTGCCACCACCATCATCGCACATGCATCATCATATCAGGTGTTGCAGCTCGGTCCATCCAGAGCTCTCTCTGTCCTCACTGCTTCTCGCCCCCCCTTGGCTGCCCTGCCAGTTGGTCAGCACCCCCTCTTGCCCTTCCCCTCTCGTTCGCTACAACTCTAACATAACTACTCCGCTCTAGGCCATCCCATGCAGTGCAATGCCGTTTCATGCCTTCCCATTCTGTCTCTTGCAATCACGTGCTATCCCACATCATCCTGCATCACCAAGCATCATTCCACACCATGCCACGTCATCCCACACCATGCCACATCATTCCACATGCACGTCATCCCGTGCATGGATATGTGCATCCCCACGCCACCAGACGAGGCATTGGAAACCATATCAGCTGCGGGTCTGGATCGACTCGTCAAGTGGAGGTCAGCTTTCTCTGCCCTTCCACCATCCCCTTGTCTCATGCCCTCCTGTCATCCAATTCAAAACCTTGTCAGTTTTCCGGATTGGCACATTGGTGATTCGAGCTCGCTCATCATGAGATGCTGCTTTCATGTGGCGCTGCTGTCGTTGAAGTGACAGCTCTCGACCATGCCAGCACTGCATGACAGTTCCACCACACCTGTCGCACCCTTTGTGCGTGTCCTTTGAACCCACCGTCAAGTCAAACTTGTGTCTCAAAGCACACCTGCAATGCAAACACACCCGTCACACTCTCTTTTTCCGTGTTCAACGCCTTGACGCTCTTGCCTCGCACAAATACATTGCACGCACGCGTGCAACCCGCTTCCCCCACTGACAGGTACCTGCAGTGGCTGGTGGAAGAGCAGGCCAGTCACAGCAAGCATCTCCACACACTCTATGCACTCGCTCTTGTTGATACCGCTGCTGCTGCTGCGACCGCTGCCACCGCCGCTGTTGCTACTGCTGCCGCTAGTGCGGCTGCAGGAACCAAGAGCATTAGAGCACTGACGGAAAACGGTCCCAGGGAGAGTTCAGCTGCAAGCGGGAAGGAGGAAAAGAAGGGGTACTTAGACGCATGGGAGGTCAGGATGAGGGGAGCAGGAGCTACAGAAGCAGCGCCGCCAGCAGATGAGAGGGTCAGGGCGAACGAGGAAGAAAACCACAGTGAGGGCGATGAGGGAGAGGAAGCATGGGGGCTTGAGGGGGCGTCAGATCAGGCATCGCTGGCAGGGCTGTGGCAGCGGGTGCGGGGAGTGCTGGGGGCGTTCCTGGAGTCATCAGAGCTGTATGATGGCAGTGCTGTGTGGCGGAGAATACAGGGCGAGCGCGCACTGCTGAGGGAACAGGTGGGTGCCTGTGCCTGCTGATGCCCATGGGTGTGTGTATGATCATGTGTATGTATGGCCAGCTGTGGCCAGCTGTGGGCAGCTTCTGACGCATACAGTGTGAAAAGCAGCACTTGGAGCCATTTTCTATACCGGCATTGGGCAGCATTGGGTATCTTCTGATGCATAGAGCGTGAAGAGCAGCACTGTATTGCCGTGCCATGCCACCTCCATGTGTTACACGCGTATCACATGGCGTGGCTTCTTCATTCTCATCCCCCCGCACACCCCACGTCACCAGGTGGTTGTGTTGAGGCGACTGGGTGACCACACAGCCGCCCTGCGCATCCTTGCTCTGTGAGGGTTCTTCACCTTGCCTCCTCTCCTCCTCTCCTCTCCTCGACTCCTCCTCCTTTCGTGTGATCATCTCCTCTCCTCCTCATCACTTCCTCCTCGTTTCTTTTCTTGCCAACTCAAATCTTCACTCAACTGCTTTGCACACCTTCCCCACACACTCCAAACTCCAAAACCTAATCCCCTTTTTTCAAACTGCAAACACCAGAGAGTTGAAGGACAGTGAGGCGGCAGAGGCGTACTGTCTACACCTCAACGACCCCCACGCTTTCGACCAGTCAGTGCTCCCTCCCTCTCGCCCTCCGTCTCACCTCCTGCTTTCTACCCACCGCTTTGCACCCCTCCACTACTGCACAAATCGCATGCGTGTGCATCCATCCCTCTCATGGCATGCCTACGTGCCTCTGAGTTCTATCAGTGGGTGTGGGTACATGTGTGCATGGAACATGCCACGTCTGCCACACCTGGGCACTTCTGGCAGTGTGTTGAAAAGATGCCATCTTGCAATCCAGCCTGTGTGAGCCGTTGGGCCTCCTTGCTCCTCTCCTTATGCCTTCACATCTCACCCCACTCCCTCTCACCCCATACCCCACCAGTCTACTGCACCTGTACCTGCACCCGGGCGGCAGCATGCGCCCCATGTTTGACGCCGCAGTGCGCCTGCTGCACTGCACGCGCGCTCACGTGGACCCCAACAGCATACTCCAGGCATGTCAGAGGTGCTTCTGCCACCTTGCCGGTGCTTGTTGAGCCAGCTAGGCAATGATTCTGCCAGCGAGGCAGTGCCCGTGACATCACATGCAAATCAAGCAAGTTGAAGTGGGAAGAGAGCTGGGTGCATGTGCTGAGATACGGCACACACAAGAGCTGGGTACTTGCTTATTCGTTCACACCACATCGTTTCTGTCCATGCTCTAGTAGTATGTGCCGTATCTGCCAGCCCAGCTTCACTCGTTCAGGGCACCCCATCCACTCCCTCCCTGCTGCTCCCTCCCGCCCCTCTGTGCACGCCCCTGTGTGCGAGCAGGCGCTACCAAGTGACATGACGGTGCAGGAGGCGGGGAGCATTTTGGCGCGGCTCATGCGCGAGAGAGTGCACAGATTGCGACAGGGGCAGGTGGGGGCTCAGGGCAGGTGGGGGCTCAGGGCAGGTGGGGGCTCAGGGCAGGTGGGGGCTCAGGGCAGGTGGGGGCTCAGGGCAGGTGGGGCTTGGAGCAGGTGTGCATGTTTTCACAATGTCGTCAGTGGGCAGCCAACGCCTATCAGCAGGTTCCTCTCCACCCACTGCCCAATGCCCCTTGATGTTGCCACACCTCCTCACATTGCACGCATGCCCATCCCCCCTTGCGTGCATGCCCGTTCCTTCCCCCCCATGCCATGCTTCCCTTCTCAGGTGGTGCACCATCTGCTCAAGGCTCAGAACCGCACCCTACTCGAGCGCAGCACTTTCGAGGCACCTCAAAAGCATGCTCATTCCTTCCTGTGCACATCCATGCTTCCCTACTCAGGTGGTGCACCATCTGCTCAAGGCTCAGAACCGCACCTTACTCGAACGCCGCATGGTGCTGCTCTCCCGCTCCGTGCTGCTGCCACTGCCGCCACACGCCATCATGCCACCCTCCTCCTCCTCTGTGCTATCATCGGCGTCATCGGTGCACGGGGGGCATGCGGGCACGAGTGTATCGGCCACGCGCTGCTCAGCGTGCCACAACCGCCTGTGCATCGACGAGCCCTTTGCTGCCATGCCCTCTGGCGCCCTGCTCTGCCACCAGGTCAGTGTCTCGTCCATGCACTGTCTTGTTCTGCTCTGCTTTGCTCTCCTCTGCTCTGCTCTGCTCTGCCACCAGGTCAGCTGCTCTGCTTCTCTGTTGAAGCGCTCCTCTGCTGCAGTTTCATGAGTGGCGTTCGTTTTTTCTGCGAGTTTGCTTCACTGTCAATGCTCTGCTGCGTGCATGTGTGCTGCGGGATGAGTGCGTCACGTGCCATGCTCGCAAAATGCTCTGCAACTTTGTTTTGATGCCTCTCTCATGCGTTCTCAGCGCCATTTGTGAGTGAGAGCACTCTCAAGAACGGTCACGGTAGCATTTTATCTTAGCGTGTGACATCAAGCTTGTTACACCGCCTCTTTCTCACAGCATCCGTGCCACCTGCTGTTCTTACTTGCAGTGTTACACCCACACCACCTCAGCTCCTAATGAAGGATGATACGGTAGTCGGTTGGAAGATATTCCAGCAAGGCTGCCATATTCGTGAAGGGCTAAGGAAGGGGTCATACCGTAGTAATGGTTACTGTCTGTAACACCAATGCTCTATATGGAAGACCATTGCTTTTTTATTGTGATTCAAAGTGATGTAACGAGGCAACAACAAGGCATGGGTCATGATAATTGACTGCCAAAGATCTGCATACAGAAACGGTGCACCTTTGTTTCTTAACTTCACCATGGAACTTACTGCTGACAGATAGTGACTGACAGGATTGCGGCACGTTCGTGTTCAGGTTCAAGTGGATACTAATTTTCCTGACACTGATGTGAACAGCTTTTCCTGCGAACTACATTTGTTGAAGCCTCAAAAGAGGCGATATGACGGCAGTGGCACTGCAGTGTGTGGGTCGAATATATACATACCATAGCTTTACATTATTTTTTTGCCTTCCCTTTTCCATCCAGCACTGGCTTTGCAAAGAAATCCTCAATCTTCCGGTTCCCACTATCATTCCCTTTCCTGCTCCCACTACCACCACCAGCACCAGCACCAGCACCACTGCCACTGCCACTGCCAATAGCACCAGCACCAGCGGCAGCACCACTCTGCTCTCCTGCCTTGTCCATCCTTGTCCGCTTGCCGCGCCCTGCCTTCCCCTGCCCACTGTCCTCTGGCCCTGCAACCTTTATGAACGTGCCCCCACATGTGCGTGCATGCCTGCACACGAGTGAGTGCGTGGGGGGAGGGCAAAGAGGGGAGGGTTTGTGCGAGAGTAAATAAGTGGTTTGCCCTGGTGCGGATGGGAAATGGGAGTGATTCTTGAATGAAAAAAAGGCTATTCACAAGGCAGCCACCCTCCTCACCACCAGTCTCCGCTCTAGCAACCACACCTCCGTTGCTCACATCCTCTCTTTCTTGACCTACCTCTGCCTGCACCCCACTCCACCCCTTCCTCTCCCCCCCTCTCCACACACGTCCCAACAGGCTCTTTCGACACACATCTCACACACCAACAACCCCCAATGAAGCAGCAGCAGGCTTACAAGTGCCAGTTACACCGTGGGTGCCGACATGTTGCAATGCGTCTCTGCCTCTCCCTCTCTTTCTCCTCTGCTGTCATCGTACCCCCATTGCCACCCTGCCCTCTCCCTCCTTGCCCTCTTCCTCCCTGCCCGTTCCCCCCCTGCTCCCTCCCCCCCCTCCCCTCTGCTGTGTATGGCTGTCTGAGCGCCATGCAGTCAGCTACAGAGGGAGGTCGGTTCATGGCGCGCCGCACCTCCTCCTGACACCTGGCGCACTGCCATTGGACGGGAGAAGTGTCGGAAGAGTGATCACGGGCATGGAGCGAATTATGGGCAGACAGTTTAAGGTTTGGGAAGAAGGAAGGTGATCGTGATGGGGAGGGGGAAGGAGCGCGAAGAGAAGGGAAAGGGGTGTGAGGGAAAGGCCATGAGCATTTCCTCTTCGAGCGGAGCAGGTTAAATGAGGAGCAGCGGACAGGCCTCGCAGCATACAAGCATGTGTATCTGTCTATCTCTCTCCAAACAACGACAACGGAATCTTGGGCCCAATGTCTGTGACAGCGTAGCATAGCACATCCCCTCCAGTAACTGTTCAGCTGCTGCAATGCAACCAGCGCTACCACAGCACCATGCCACCATGCCATCTCCACTCTCCTCCACTCACCTCACCACACCCCCACACCCCCCTCCACTCCCCCTACAACCCCCCCACACACCACGACACCCCCTCCTCCCCACCCAGGGCACCTGCCAGGCGTGGCGCCTGTGCACGTTGACTTCATCCTTGAACGAGTGGTAGACGGATATCTGGTAGCCCCCAGGGGGGGGGGGGGCACGTGTTGAGACCGTCTCAGAACCCCCCCACCCTTCTCCCCCCCAACACACCATGACACCATGACATCTTCTCTCTCTCTCCCCCACTGCACCTGCCAGGCGTGGCGCCTGTGCACGTTGACTTCATCCTTGAACGAGTGGTAGATGGATATCTGGTAGCCCCCAGGGGGGCGCTGGGATGGACGGCACGGAGGGAGGGAGGAGAGCAACAGCAGAGCGAGGAGGAGGGAAGAGGACACACACGTGACGGGCCATTTTTTGGTTGTTCGCAGGTGACGAGCGTGGAGGAGCGAGGCGGTGGAGATGAGGGGTGCTTTAGGTTGGGATCTGGTGGTGAGAAGAAGCGGCTTTGCGATGAGAAGCAGCAGGAAGAAACTCTTGCAAATGAGTGGCACATGCGAAGCAAGGCAGGCAGGCGGGCAGGTCCGACCTTGACAAAGAAGCCTGAACATCCACCAGCACGTTTTGTCACGACTGGGAAACGCTTATCATTTGCACTCACTTTCAGCTCCAATGAAAACACACACACGCACGCATGCACAAATGCACGCATGCACGCGCGCACACAAACAAAGATCCTACGTGGCACCTGATGGTCGTGCAGAGTGCTGGTGTTGATGGTCCCCATGATGCCCTGGAACATGGGCCCGTGGTCCCTGGCGTTGGCGTTGGCGTTGGCGTGGGCGTTGGCGTTGGCGTTGGCGTTGGTGTCCATGCCCACAGACACGGGCACAGGGGCGTGTGTGCGAGAGAGGGCGGGCGGAAGGGAGCACTGATTGATGAGGTGCAGACAGAAACTCGGAGCAGGCGAGGCGGAGTGAGAAGACCATGCTCACATTGCACGGAGCTTCCTCACAATCACTGCGTGATGCCTCGCCTCTCCACCAAGTGACACGCACCACCCTCCCTGCCACCCCACTACTCGTCCTCCACACCCCACCATCCCCAACCTCCCACCCTCTCCCTCCCACAGCTCACTCTCTGGAGCGAGTGGGACAGCAGCAGAGAGGAGGACGAAGGCGTGGACCATCTCGTCCCACCCCACACCTTGCCTTCTCTCGCCCCCAGTTCCGAACCCCTCATACCCTACCCCCCTTCCCACCACCTTCCCCCACAACCCTCCTCCCCTCCCCTGGCTCACTCTCGGGAGTGCGAGGGGCGGCAGAGGAAGATGAAGGCGTGGATCATCTCGTGCAGCAGCGTGGCTTTAAGGTCCGACACGGGGCGGTACTGCAGCAGCGGGGCCGACAGCCGGATGCGGCACAGCGCCCCATCGTACATGCACACGCCCGCACACCTGCGGGGGTGGGGGGGGGGGGGGGGAGGGGATGGCGGGGAGTGGGGGAGGGAGTGGTGGACCGTGGATGGATGAGCCACGGGGGGAATAGGGTCAGGTTGGGAGTGGCGGGAAGTGGCAGGAGTGGTGCGAGTGGTGGGAGTGGTGGGTGGAAAGGGGGGGAATGGGAAGGGTGGCGAGCGGGAAGCAGGGAGTTCCTTAAGGCACATGAATGCTGGCGGCAGTGGGCAGACAAGGCGGATGGAAACACAGAGAGAGGCGTGCGCTGCGGTAGGTAGGTAGGTAGCAATCTTGATTCTTGACGCACCGCACGTCCCTTGCACTGCACGGACCAGACGGATATTCTATCTACCAAACAGAAGAAACGCACACTATCCCAGCGCTGCCTGTTCCTCGCTCGCACCCCTCTCACGCCCAAGAATCGCCCACGTCGCACTCCTGCACTGCCTGCCACAGCATCCTCCTTACAGCGTCATTCGTTTGGAGCTCCACTCGACAAGGCACGCCCCCAGGCGGCCTTGAAAGTAGAGGTCGTTGTAATGGCGGAAGAGCACTGTTATGTCCGGACACGGGTCCAGCAGGTCGGGGTCAGGAGGTGGGGGGACTGCAGGCAGTGGCACTGGGGGCAAGGGCAACGGAAGGACGGGAGGAAGGGCAGGGATAAACGCGGAGGAAGGGTGGGGAAAGGGGCGGGAAAGGTGGGGGGAATGAGAAGTGGGGGATGCAGAGGAAGGATGGGATGGAGGATTGTAGAGCGACGAGACGAGCAAGCAGGCAGATACAGGGCATGCAGGCCAAGGGGTAGTGCTTTTCCAAGGGTAAATATCGGGCCATGGTTTGAACCACATGACGGCGAACATGCCCCTTGGGAAGGCACTACCCCTTGCCCTGCGTGCAGCATGCCTACTCCCCCTTCCATCATCCCATCCTGCCCGTCCATCGCATGCAGTTCCCGGATCGTGCAACGATCTACAAATCCCCTTATCCGCCATCCGTCTTCCCCAGCCCCTCCCCGTCAACCCGCTCCGCGTATCTAACCATACCAACCCCCTCCCCCAATCTGCCCATACCAACCCCCTCCACCTTACGCGACCAGCTCTCCGCCTCCTCCGCCTCCCCCTCCGCCTCGTCATCGATGGTTATCACGTCTCGCGCCTCCCGCGGGTTCCGCTCCCACCACCGCTCCGCCTCTCCGCCCCGCTCGCGTAGCTCCGCCGCAGTCGACCCTTCCGCCCCGCCTCTGCTGCTGCCGCTGGAGGCAAATCCCGAAATGCTCCAATCTTTCCTGGGCTCTTGCGCGATACCCCCCGCGCGTCCTCTTTCCGCTGAGGACGTTGGTCTGCTAGGGTTCTCGAGCGCAAGGCGAATCCCGGGATCGGATTCGGCGAGGGAGAGGGCGATCGCGAGTGCGAGGTCGTCGTGAGAGAAACCGTCGCCCGCCATGCCGAGCGAATTTGTGCGACTGCGCGCGTCAGCTGTGTTGGACTGTGAAAGCTGCAAGCATGGAGGGAATGACTGGCACTAGACTAGAGCCTTCATGTTTTCGATTCCCTTGAGCGGCGTCGAAAGTTGTTGTGACCAAGCGTAATGGTCAACCATATCCGCGTTCTTGGCGATAGCGATGGAGGGTGGGGGGAATGCGGGAGGTAGGCGGGTGGAAGCGAACATGTCAACGAGTAGAAGAATTAACTATAAGGGTTGCATACAAGGGCAGCAACCCATACCCTCTACAGTACAACCCAACCTAGCCCAACAATGTACACCTACAAGTGTAGTTTGACAAAATGGACCTACTGCAATAACAACACAACAAATAGCCCCTCAGCTGAAAACCAGCAGGCAGCTCGTGTAGTGAACATAGTGCATGCCCAATGCGAGGCCTACAACACCATCCCATGCCATCATGTCGTCATGCCATCATGACTCATGGGCTAAGCCTCAATCGACACGCAGAGTGGCACCTGGCTAAGGAGCAAAGGAGAAAGCAAGAAAACAACACAAACTTCTGCACGCACACGCACACAAGTGGTACTGCCCACCCGAATGGCCCTAAAAAACCCTGAAGCCAGGCCGAATACCGCCTGCAGAGGGACTCGACGGCCGAGCCTTCCCAGTAGCAGCAGCTGCAGCCGCAGCAGCAGCACCCATGGCCGCAACAGCAGGCCGTGGAGAGGAACGAGGCGAGACAGGGTTATCTGAGGATGAACCCCGACGGCCAGAGTCCGCAGCATCACTGTCTGTTTCCAAAAGCGTAAGGTTAAGACTTTTGCTTTCCGCCCTTGCCGGTGCTCCCTCTCTCGGCCCTCTGTGCACGCTAATCACGGAATACTCCCCAAGCCTGGCGTACACAGCTCCTGATGCCCCTACCGCACCCTGTTCCTCCGACACAAGAGCATCACACCCGGATGAGCCAGCAGCTGTCACCGCTCCCCCTCCGTGTCTGCTTTTCTCCGAGGCTGGTCCAGCCACGCGGGACCGCTGTCTCAGCAGCATAATCTCCTCCTCCATGGTCGCAATCTTCTGCTGCTGAAGCACCAGCATTCGCCATGCAGCATCGTGGATGCTCGGCTCTGGCTCTTTCCACGCCACCATGCTGGCCTTGCCCACACCTCTGCTGCTGCTGCTACTGCTTCCCATTCCTGCGCTGCTGCCGCTGTTGCTGTTGGCTACTCCTATGGAGCTGCTGGGAGCGCAGCCTCTGCTGCCGACCAGACACTGACCACTAGGGGCACTGCTGATGTCGTTGTGATGCCCTACACTAGCACTGGTCTCGCCAGAAGAGCCAGGAGAACCACCAACAGCAGCACCAGGAGAAGGAGTAGCAGTAGCAGCAGTAGCAGCGGGGAGAGGGACGGGTGGCAAGGGGAAAGCGTGCCTGATCTCGCCTTCTGAAGCACTAGCATGGACGGCCGCAAAAACCTCACCAGAGGCAGCAGCAGCGAAGTGGTCTAAGCTGCCATCCAGAGCCGTTGCCATAGGTCCATGCCTTATCACGGGCATGGTTCCTCGGCGGATCAGCGACCAAGTGCCACTTCCCACCCTGTTTCCAGGCCTGCCACTGCCAGCCGCCCTGCTAGCTGCAGCAGAAGCAGCAGCCGCCACTGCCACACGCGATCTTATTGCTTCCATGCTGTCCCCACTCTCACCAACGGTGGTGTTGTTATTGTTGTTGTTGGTGTTTGTGGTGGTGGTGGCGATGCTGCTGCTGCTGCTGCTGCTGCTATTGCTACTGCCACTCTTGGCACGCAAGCCAAAGAGGCCGCGGCGGCTGTGCAGGGAGGAGTAGTTGAAGCTGCTAGCGATGCGAGAGATGAAGCGCGAGCGCGCAGCAGAGGCGATCCAACCGCGCGAGTCAGAAGCAGCGGGCGATACGGACCCATCCACCAGCTCCACCGCCGCCCATGCTGACGCCGCCGCTGCTGCTGCCTCGTCCTCTTCGTCAACACTGCAATCGTCAGCAGCATCGCTGTCATTGTCGATCCCTTCATCGCGAGCAGGAGCACCTGGAGTCGCAGGAACAAGAGCAGAGCTTTGAGGGACGTGAGATTCTGCAGAAGCAGCGCCAGCAGACTCAGTAGTAGCTTCTGAACCGGGTGAGGCAGAGGCGGACGCAGCACCTGGCAGGGCTGGGCCATCTGAAGCAGCAGCAGGAGCAGGAGCAGGAGCAGGGGAAGCAGTAACGAGAGAGGCGAGGGGCCGGGAGGGCGTGGCGGTCGGCGTGTCGCGGGCGTAAGTCGAGGAGCGCGCGGACGAGGAGCGAGTGGAAGAGGAGCGGCTGAGCGTGCGCAGACTCACCAGGAATTCCAGATCCAAGGGCCCGCTCTCCAGGTCGGACAGCTGGCGACGGAGGGAAAGGGGAGAAGAAGGATGGGGATTCAGACTCGATAGCTAATGGGGATGTATGCACGCTGAAAGTGGACGGGATGGGCGGACAGATGGACGGATAGGAGGGCAGATGGACGGACGGAGTCTAGAGCACACAGGAGCGACTCCCTTGAGCTGTCTTACCTCCTGCAGGATGCGGCCCGACGGGGTCTTCTGGTGGAAGATGGGTCGACGACCTCGACAATGACTGGGATTCCCGCTGCCGCCGTGTCGTCGCCTTCAACTTTTGTCTCCCCTGCCAGGTGACTTGCCGCGAACTTGCCGGCGAAATTTTCGTCGACTCCAGAATTTTCTCCCGCCGTTGCTCTGGCGCAAGCGCCGCCATTCGCAGATATATGCTGTGCTGTCCATGCGTCAGATATCGATGCGCTTCGGAAACAGTCGCGCGCAGCGTCAGCATGAACAATGGTCAGGCCAGAAGACGGTAACGGTCCGTCGTCAGGCGACGACGGGGCGGCCACTATCGCCTCAAACACGCTCTGGAAGGCGGCACCGCCGCTACCGCCGCGACAGCAGCTCGCAACCGCATGCTTGTGGTCGCTGACTCCGCCGAAAGCGGCGCCGGATTCTCCGGAGCTACCGCCGGCGCTGCCTCCATGATTAAGCTTTCCGGCAGACTGCACATGATTGGGGAACTCAGTACAACTAGAGGCGGTTGTAGCGGCCGGCTGGCTCCGCTCGGGGCTTGTCGTTCGCGCACGTTCGAGCGCCGGCGTCGTGGGCGAGAGCTCTCGAGGCAGCTGTACTAAGAATGACGCACTCTGCGACACTGGTGGTTCCGACTGCGGCGGTGACGGAGGCTGCTTCTGCGGGTGGGGCAGCGACGACGGCAATATATGGTGGTAGTGAGGGTCGTGGTGAGGAGAATCGGGTTGGACAATTTGGCTTTGGGGATCGATTAGCGTGTAAGTTTCGAGCGACGATAAGCGGCTGTTGGCGTCTACCGAATGTCGGCTACCCGCGCGGCGGAGCTCGTGGTTCGGAAACTCCGCAAGCACGCGATCGGCGGAGATTCGCTGCTCGTACAATCGCACGCTGTCGTCGGGTAGTATGACGATCACAGACGACACGTTGAGTGACGGACAGGGGGAAAGTGAGGGCGACGCTGAGCCGAACGATTGCTGCAGTGCGGGAGAGCGACAGGAGAAGGAGGAGGGCGAGGAGAGGAGAGACGAGGCCGTAGATGACTTCTCAAACGTCGCCATGGCCGCTGTTTGTTGAGAACTTCAGTACTTGTTGCTGACAGCAGTACTGGGTTCGAAATTTTAGTTGACACAAAGAATGATGTGATAGATCATAAGCTTTGAATGGCATCCAGTGCTACTGATTAGACATTATAGCTTGTGTGGTTGTACAAAACAGATAACGCGTTTTTGCCAATCGATACCATTTTCACTCCCTTTCCGATCATGGGTCTTGCTTCGCTCTTCGTTCGCGAATCGCACCCTTGGTGACTGGGAGCAATCCGGGGATGAACGTATACACCCTGTTTCGCGCTACACTGTTAATGGCTATACTAACTGATCGGATGTACACACAATGCGTCCAGGATGGTCCACGCACATACGATATAAGCACGTTTGCCCGCACTCAACCGTACCCAAAAGCAAGTTGTTTTTTGAAAACCGTTGTGTACCGTTCACCAGGAGTCCATTTGCCCGTCACTACCTGCAGTTCGGCTGTAAGTACGAGACCGCTACGTTCCAAGCAGCAGTACACACTGTAGCCTTTGAA